CAGTACGCCGATCTTTGCACTGGTGGCTATCCTCGGCTCTGGACAACGGATGCGTCTTCTTGGACATACATCCACTGATTATGACTACAGACGCCAGCCTGATGGGCTGGGGCGCGCACCTGGGTTCCCAGGTCGCTCAGGGGCGATGGTCCCCGACAGAGGCAAGGTCAAGTATCAATCTTCTGGAACTCAGGGCCATTCGCCTAGCTCTTCTGGCCTTTCATCAAACTGTGCAGAGACAACACTTACTAGTGCTTACAGACAATGTGTCGGCGAAGGCACATGTCAATCGCCAAGGGGGAACGAGGTCCAGGACCTTGATGCAGGAGGCTCTTCTTCTCGGGAGGTGGGCAGAATCTCATCTTCAGTCCCTCAAGGCGGATCACATTGCGGGGAAGGACAACCTTCAGGCGGATTATCTCAGCCGCACCACGATAGACGCCTCAGAATGGCGCCTCAGCCCCGCCCTGTTTCAGGACATCTGTCTCCGGTTCGGCCAGCCACAGGTAGACCTCCTTGCATCCCCAGAGAACGCACAGCTACGCCGATTCTTCACACGCTACCCATCACGGGGAGCAGAGGACACAAATGCTCTCCGTTGCCCCTGGCCTCGGGAGCTACTCTATGCGTTCCCGCCGATTCCATTGATCCCGCGGGTCCTTCGCAGAATTGTAGCCGAGAGAGCAGACGTGGTCTTCATCGCTCCTTATTGGCCAAGAAGACCATGGTTCTCCGACCTAGTAGCCCTCTCAACGATGGATCCTTGGCGGCTACCTCCAGAGAAGGTGTCCCTCAGTCAGGGAGCAATCCTACACCCAGAGCCCCAGTGGCTCAACCTAACCGCTTGGCGCTTGAAGGGCTGCTCTTGAGGGAAGCGAGGTACTCAGAAGACGTCATCCGGGTGATGCAGGCTGACAAAAAGGAGTCTACCATCAGACTCTACAACATCACGTGGAAGGTATTTATTTCGTGGTGCTCTGCGCGCGGAATTAACCCGTTGTCAGCTTCTGTTCCGCAGGTGTTGGAGTTCCTCCATGATGGCTACAGCAAGGGTCTGGCGCATAATACCCTCAAGCGGCATGTTGCAGCTCTCGCCACGGTGTTGTCTCCCAGGGACGGCGTGCCTCTGTCTCATCACCTTTCCATCCGGAGGTTCCTACGTGGAGTACGAAATCTGCGTCCACCCGTGGTACACCGATATCCCACATGGGACTTGCCGCATGTATTGTCAGCTTTGACAGGTCCACCCTTCGAACCTCTCCGAACTGTCTCTCTTAGATTTCTAACCATGAAAGTGGCCTTCCTGGTGGCCGTGACTTCGGCTCGCCGCATTTCTGAACTGGCAGCTCTTTCTGTCAGACAAGATTTATGTGTGATACACCCAGATAGGGTTATTCTTAGACTGGACCCGGCATTCGTGCCAAAAATTAATTCACGGTTCCATCGTGAGCAGGAAGTCATTCTGCCTAACTTTTGTCCAAATCCATCTCACCCACTAGAACGCAAATGGCGAACCCTTGATGTTCGCAGGGCTTTAAAAATATATATCTCTCGGACCGCATCCTCAAGACGCTCCGAAGCCCTATTTATTTCCTTTCAACCCTCATCTTTGGGATCTAAGGTTTCTTCAGTCACTATAGGGCGTTGGATCCGAGCTTGCATCTCCAAAGCTTATGACTCACGATCTCTTCCCATTCCACGTCATATTACAGCTCACTCCACACGGAGTGCAGGTACTACCGCTGCTTGGGCCACGCAGGCCTCCCTCGAGGAAATTTGCCGGGCAGCTACCTGGGCCTCTCCTGTTCCATTCATCAAGCATTACCGTTTAGACACCTTTGCCTCCGCTGAGGCAGCTTTCGGAAGGAGAGTCCTCCAACAGGTTCACCTGGCACCTCGACCTTCGCAGACCTCCCGCCCGACGAGTTAACAAGCTTGGGTATGTCCCACTTCTGACCCACTCCGCATCCCAGTGGGAGAAGAGGCGTTGGACTTACCGTGAACGCTCTTTCTCCAGGGGATGCGGAGTGGGTCAGCCCCTCCCGTCTGCGATTTCTCTTGTATTCTAGGTCTGAGACTGTTTTGCAGATCTGCCTTCGTCGAACAAACTGGAAGGAAGGGAGGCCTGAGTAGGCGTGGCCAAGTTTATCCGACTCAGTGATTGGCCAGACAAACTGGATCATCCCACTTCTGACCCACTCCGCATCCCCTGGAGAAAGAGCGTTCACGGTAAGTCCAACGCCTCTTTTAACAGGAAAAGTCGGGGGTCGTCTTATACGCCCAGTCGTCTTATACGCTGGAAAATACCGTCTTATACGGTATGTAAAGTCTAGAAATTGTCTTCCCATTCAGTAGCTAGTATTAAAACATGAAAGTTGAGGCTGTTAGAATGATGGGAATAATGTGATGTCAAAACATAGTTGTATTGATCTGTGCCATGCCTATGAGTAGCTGCTGCCGCCTTTGAGTAGGTGCTTCTTCTTTTGTTCCATCAGCCTCTTGTATTGCCTTTTCCTATTAAAGAGGTCTTCTCTATTTTTTCTGAAACAATTGATGAGTTCATTTCCAATGTTAGTGGTCATACCATGGTTGGTTTAGAAATGCATGACATAAAGGAAAAAAAGGAGTTACAATCATTTAGGTGGTGATCATTGGCCTCCCAACATTCTTGAGATAAAAGAATTTCATATTTGATAATGAAGCTCATAAAGCTGTAGTCTTTGCATCTGGCACACCACCTGGCATTATTCCAAGAGACAAATGTCAGCAGGTTCCTGGAGCCTAAATGTAAGAGAAATGGTTCCCCTTCATATACTAAAGAGGCCAATGAATTAGAGCTGCTTCAGTCAAGTGCAATTTTCATAGGAAGGTGAATATATTCTTGAGGGGCCATCATTGTAAGTTTGGTTGTTAGCTTCGGTCAATGACAGAGTCAAACCATTTGGCATTTGCATGAAATGATTTTGGGAATAGAACTAAGTCATTTGTGTGTGATTTGACTCCAAAACCAGAAGCAGGAGCGCCCAGAGATTGCTGGGATGGAACCGATGTTCTGAGGGTTCTGAACATAGCAAGTCACTCTGATTTCCATCTAGGAAAGTAGTACACAGAGATCGCAATTAAGCTTTTATTTGACAAGTTGTCTTGCAATGGGGCATTTCCATATGATTTAAGTAGCTGGCATGCTCATCCTCATCAGGAGAAATGCATCTCAGCTCTAACTTGATCAGGACACTCTTGGATGCTGGAGATTGGCTTTGGATAAGACTGAGAATGATTTGGTCTTGGCTGTTGCCTAGCAATGTGACTGGTCTGTCCACTTTCATTTTGAGAAAATTTCTTAAGGACATTTTGCTTCTCTAAGATGTCAGCAGAGCAGCTGTTACCATGAAAGACTTGGAAGGGTGTAATATGAAACTTCCTTGAATAGTTTTTAGCATTATTGGTGGAATCCTTGTATATCTGAAAGTAAGAACCACTCTTGTGTACCTAGTATGGCTAAGTAATCTGGGTAGCAATTCAGTACTGATAGAATCACTGTGAGAAATGAGACAATACATCAACTATGTCAGTGACTGATTAAATAACCCTCCTGGAATGCCATCTGTCATGATTGGCATTTCTCCATTAAAATTATTTTCCTGTCTGGTGGAAGAACTTGCCCATTGCCATTTTGAATTGTGTGGGGGGGGGGAGGTTAAGAAAACCACCCTCATGTGATTACGCTGCCCCTTCCTCCCATAATGGATTATGAGATCTTCTGTCCATTGTGGTTAATGTTTAGTCATTTCTTGTCAGGGAATCCATCTGAAAGTTTAAATTTAAACAATCTATCAAGGATTTTAAGCTATCAATTTTGCTGTTAGTCATCAGAATTTTATTATAAATAAATATCACCATTTGTGCTATCAGGAACAATTCTTCTATTATTATTGCTTTTTTTCTTCTTTCCTTTTTTTAGGTAGCAAAAATTTGCTTTTTCTATCTTTTCTCCCCTTTTCATTTTAGCCATTGTCCCTCCACTGCAGGATGAAGGCCTCTTCCGCATATTTCCAACCAATATGGTCTTGAGCTTCCCTTTGCCAGTTGGGCCCACAATACTTGCTGATGTCATCAGTCCATCTTGTTTTAGGTCTCTTTTATGGATGCTTTTTATCGAGTGGGTTCCATTTTTATGACTGCCTTTGGAAATATCGATGTGCCGTATTTCTCCCATACCAGAGAAACGCATGCCACTCTACTTGAAGGTCATGACCATCCAGTAATAATAGTCTTCTATTCCTCAAAGTTATCCACTCTTTCACCCATGTGATTGCAGCTGCTTGGTAATACAATTCCCAGTCAGGCAGACCAAAACCACCTTTCCCCTTTGACTCTTGCAGTAGTTTCAGTTTTATTCTCCGTTTTTTTTCCTTGCCAAATGAATTTCAACATTATTTTATTCATTCCTCAAAGTATTTTTTTCTCTAGTTTTATTGGTATTGTTTGGAATAAAAAAAGTATCTTCGGCAGTGTGTTCATCTTTATTGTGGCTATTCTACCCATCGTAGTATGTGTGTGTGTGTGTTTTATGAAAAACATTTATGAAAAACATAATCTAAAATGTTACTTGTACAGGACAGTCCCTTTTAGAGTTCTGTTTCTTTCAGTAGCAGGCAATTCATAAATGGATACTATTAAATATTGCTACCATCATCTCTCCCCAGCTAATCTCTACAGTAACAAAGGAAGGGAAGGAAGTAATAAATATATGCATATTATAATAGTTCTTTACAAAGATTTTCTGCATCAGTAATAATATATACTAGAGGAAGAGATAAGAAATGTATAGAGTAGTTGGCATAATTAATAATTAATCTAAATTAATTTGTCTCATTTTCCTCTGTTGAATTTTCAGTGCATTTCTCATCTGGACAAACCCGTTTTAATATTTAACTTTGTTGTTGCATTGTTCAATTTAGTATAATTCCCATACTTTTATCCATTTCTTTGTTTTTCAGATTTGTCTGCAAAAGTTAAAGCAAATAGGCATGGAAATTCCTGAAGGGAAAGGCCCTTATTCTGTGGGATGTACAGACCTCATGTCTGGTAATGGTATTGAGGTACTTATAACTGCCATTATTAATAAACCCAATTTTACATTAATAAGAATGTAAACAAGCCAAAGAGCTTGCATGAAAAGAAAACCAATCCAAAATATAAAATAGTTTAGCCTATTATCCATATAACATTATTGTTTTTAGGGTAGAAGTTTTATTAGTTACTGCAGTCAGGTAACTGGCAGAATGTCATTTCCAAACAAACAGGTATCACCAAGGTACCTGTGCAATCAGTTTCTCCATTCCTCCCCTGTCAGTTATGCATTATATAATTTGAACCAGTCATGATCCAAGCCCACTATGGTCCCATTCAGAAGTCTAACTTGTTACACAAATACTTAGCTTTATTTATTTATTAAATTTCCATGTCTCCCATCTTGCTGAGACGCCTCTAGGTGGCTTATTGTTGTTCTCTTTTCTTTTTATAATTGTAAAAACAACCTGGCTTTCGTTTAAAAAGCTTTTATGGAAAACCTCCATAACAAATCTATGTTTTGGATTCATTCATATATCTCATTCATTTTGCTGCCATAGAAATAAGGAAGAAGGTGTTCATTTGCTTTTTTCACTCATTACAAAATAAATACAAAAATCTATCCAAGCCAATTTTAAGGTGATTATAATAATGGGATATAAAAAGGGATACTTTTTATAATGGGGATACTATAATAATGGGATATAAAAATGGATTTCAAGTTGTTTGAGATAAACAAATTTTCTGTGTATAGGGTAGATATACAATTCCAGACTGCAATGAAGTGCAAAGTTTCACCATTTGGCTAGGCTAATGCCATAAATCAGCAGATGCAGATAATGATACCATCCAAATTCTATTTTGGTTATGGCCAACATGAATACTAGTTCAATTTGAAGCACTACTTTTAAGCAAATTTTTGTCACATGTCAGCGTTTAAAGTAAGTTGAATTAAGGGTACAACACTTCTTATTAATTCATGCTTTTTTAAAAAAATTAACATTTAGAAACAGCTTTCACTAATTACTTCTATTATTTTATAATAGGGGACTTTTTTGCGTCTGTATTATCCTTCCCAAAATCATATGAATTATGAAAAGACAAAATGGATTCCCAATAAAGAATATTATTCTGGACTGTCTCGTTTTCTTAACATGTATTGGATAGTAGGGGAATTAATTCTAGCAGATTATTTTGGTAAGTTTCAGAGGGGTTATGAATTATAGCACCAGTCCATTATGAGCATATTCTTATGCAGATATGTTTTCAGTCTCTCGCTCTCAAGTGTATGCATTTTCTAAATCTGATTGTTAGGAAAGTTATTATGTAGATACTAGCATTATTCTGATTAATGCTATTAGAGAAATAGATTCTTATACATTGAGACTTTAGCTGCTTGTTACTTATTACAGATAATCCTTGATTTACAACAGTTCATTTAGAGACTGTTACAAGGGCACTGAAAAAAGTGGCATGGTCATTTTTCACACTTACGACCGTTGCAGCATCTCCATGGTCACATAATCAAAATTCAGACACTTGTCCACTGGCTCATATTTATGACAGTTGCAGTGTCCTGGGGTCAAGTGATCACCTTTTACAACCTTCTATCATCAAAGTCAGTGGGAAAGCTAAATTCACTTAACAACCATGGTAAGAAAGGTTGTAAAATGGGGCCACTTAACAATTACAGTGTTTCACTTAACAACTGTGGTAAGAAAGGTTGTAAAATGGGGCAAAATTCACTTAACTACTGTCTCGCTTAGCAACAGACATTTTGGGCTCATAAGTCGAGGACTACCTCTATTTGTAAAAGAATGTTATAACACACTATGAAAGCTATATAAAATCACTTTTATCCCAGTCCCATCCAAAGTTGATTTGGATAGAAAAACATATAGTGAAAGATAGAAACAAATCCCACAAACTATTCCAAGGTACAGTAGTTTAAGGCAAAACGTACTGGTATGTTACTATACTTTTTTATGGCCCATAAGGATCTAGAAAAATTGCTAAAGCTTATTTATGAACTCTTTGGGTCCAAAGTGGCAATATTTTTTATTCAGCTTCAATTATGTCCCACAGAGGAAGTTGAGCTTAGATTGCTTTATTGTGTTCAATTTCAATGATTCCAAACATTGTGAATGCTAAAATGGCCATCACATGATTAGTTAGCACACAGCACAATTTGTACTACCATTTTTCTGAAAAGAACTTTATAAAATATATTTATATGGGACAGTGTCATTTGGGATAAAAAAATTTAACCTTTTGCATTAAGTGTATCTTGAATTATTCTTTAAAAGCTAGCTTAAGGATGCAGTGCAGTTTTCAAAATGAGTTCAATTTCAGTCTAGTGAAATCGTTAAAAAAAAACCCCCAGAAAAAGTAACAAAATTTGCTTTCTTCTGTCTAGGCTCAGTTACATCTCCTGCAAAGTGGAATGCTGAATTCAAGACTGGAGAAAAATATCCCCTAATTATTTTTTCCCATGGACTTGGAGCATTTAGGTAATACTGCCTATTTACATATCTGATATCTCTGAAAAACCAAGTCTGATTTACGTATGCTTGCATTCATTCAAGACATTACACAACAAATTACTTCTAAAACTAAAATCCTGTGGCATTTCTGGGCTCCTACATAAATGGATAGCTGCCTTCCTGTTGACAGTGGTGTTCCTCAAGGTCCAACACTCTTCATACTTTACATAAATGACCTTTGCGATCATATTAAAAGCAACTGTGTTCGCCAATGATGTTAAACTATTCAACACCATCAACAATGCAACTACCCTTCAAAAAGACCTTGACTATGTGTCAGATTGGTCTAACAAGTGGCAACTTCAAATCTCAACCAACAAATGCTCTGTTTTGAACATTGGCAAAAAAAATCAAAACATAAAATACAAATTAGATGAACATGATCTTGTAGATGACCCTCACTTTGTCAAGGACCTTGGAATACGCATTTCTAAAGATCTAAGTGCCAGAGCCCACTGTAACAACATTGCCCAAAAGGCATTAAGAGTTGTTAACCTAATCTTGTGTAGCTTCTTCTCTGGTAATATTGTACTACTAACTAGAGCATACAAAACATTTGCTTGACCAATTCTCGAATACAGCTCATCTGTCTGGAACCTGCACTGCATATCAGACTTAAATACAATTGAGAGAGTCCAGAGATATTTCACGAGAAGAGTCCTCCATTCCTGTACCTGCAATAAAATACCTTATGCCACCAGACTTCAAATTTTGGGCTTAGACAACTTAGAACCAAGCCGACTTCAGTCTGACCTAAGCATAGTACATAAAATTATCTGTCACAATGTCCTACCTGTCAATGGCTACTTCAGCTTCATCTCAACAATACACAAGCAAATAATAGATACAAACTCAAGGCAAACCACTTCAAACTTGATTGCAGAAAATATGACTTCAGTAACAGAGTGGTTAATGCCTGGAATGCACTACATGACTCTGTGGTTTCTTCCCCAACCCCCCCCCCAAACTTTAACCTTAAACTGTCTACTGTTGACCTCACCCCATTCCTAAGAGGTCTGTAAGGGGCATGCATAAATGCACCAGCGTGCCTACTGTCCCTGTCCTAATGTTCCTTTTTACTCTTACTCTTTTCATGCATTCAAATTATGTTTATACTTTTACCTGTTATCTTATATATGCTTGATAAATAAAATAAAATAATAAAATAAAATAAAATAAAATAAAATAAAATAAATACATAAAATCCTCATTTTTTACTGGCACAACTTCACCCTACATATGTCATCAGTCAGAAATATGGCAAAACAGGCAGCATATGACTTTCATAATAAATAAAAAAATTGCCTGAAATAAGTTCCATGAGCCTTTTCTTACATATTATTTAACCATTTCATAACTGCAATATTAATATTTATAGTTTGGAAGATGATAATTATGATGATGAAGAAGGTTATAATCAAAAGTAACACAATTCCATGCCAAGAGCAGCCTTTGACCATACTGACTATATTAGCTGTGGTCAGACATACCTGTAGGAACCCAGATGAAACTAGAGCTTCTAGTTTTTGGCCATATATGAGCTTTATTCTTTGTTTTTCTGATTGTTAAAATGGAATTGTCTCAGGCCTGCCTATCTGTACAATTCCCATATTGCATTCTCCCTCCCCCCCCTCTCATATATATGTAGGTCTTTGGTTATTCGGGTTTTCTCCCGCGTTTTCTCCAAAGACCTACATACAAACACCCGTGAAAACCTCAGAAAACATATGTCTTTGGTTATTCGGGTCTTCTCCCACGTAAAATTGGAAGTGTCTTGCTCCTGGAAGCACGAAGCCGAGAACACCAGCCTGAAGATGACGAATGAGACTTCGTCGAAACGTCACCAAGACACTTCCAATTTTACGTGGGAGAAGACCCGAATAACCAAAGACCTACACATATATATATATATATATATACACACACACACACACATCTGCCCTACAAGATGGCTCTGAGCATTTTTTTTCCCATCATCCATCTCCTCCTCAATCTTTTACCATCCAACACACTTTCCACTTTATTGTCTTTGTTCATTTTTTCTCCCCTGTACATTTCTAGTTACCTGCTGACCCAGCTGCTTCTCTAGCTTCTCATAGCTGCACATTTTTCTCTGTCCCAAGCTGTGCTCTTTTTCCAATTAGCAGTTGTCCAAAAGGGGCTCCTCCTCTCTTTCTTTTTCCTAATATCAACTTTGCCCGGAATGAGTAAAACCGAGGAGCGACCTATGGCATGAAGATGATTAAGGGGTGGGGGATGGGAAAGCTAAAATGTTTTGCCGCAGTACATTTTCCATGCCCCTAATTGTTTACGGATGTGACTAGAATATGGGGAGAGGAAACAAACAGCCTTAAAGCTGGCTTGACCTCTTTGGGGTTTTGTGACTATGGGCAAGACTAAGAAATATTTCCCACATTGCAGAAGGGGAACGGAAGACTAGCAGAATGCTTTTCAATATAGGATGTGTATATTTCCCAGATCCATTCTCTTTCATTTTTTCATCTTTATACATTTTACCATATAAATATATGGATGAAAACATGTTTAATCTTTTTTAAAATCTAGGAATTGAAACTGTTTATGTATAATGCCCTATGTCAATAGTAAGAAAGGAGATGTAGCATGCAAATGATTTAAAAGATTGACTTAATTTGCAAAATTGTATTTATTTCACTAGGACGCTGTATTCTGCAATTTGCATTGAAATGGCATCTCGGGGGTTTATTGTTGCTTCTGTGGAGCATAGGTATGCTTATATCTCAATTTTTAATTGACTGAGGTAGAAATATGTACGTAGAATCTAATAAAGGACTTTGTACTTATTATAAACTGAGAATACCAAGAATTTCACTCAACCAATCACTGAGGTCCACTATGGAATAATAACTCTAGTGGTTCAATTGCCTATGGGCTGATGCTGAGCCGCTTAACTAATTTTTATTTGTTTGTTTATTTGTTTATATTTTGCCTTATTATTTTTATAAATAACTCAAGGTAGCAAGCATACCTAATACTCCTTCTTCCCCTATTTTCTCCTCAACAACAACTCTGAGGTAGTTTGGACTGAAAAAGACTGAGTTACCCAAAGTCATCCATCTGGGTGCCTTAACCACTAGACAGACAGGCTTTTACAATGCTTATGGATGATGGGCAAATTATAATATTTATGATCACAGTTGATTTTCCTGTGGAGATAAATATCATCACTAGGCAAAGAATTGAATGCTCTCCAAAATTAGAATCATTACGTTTATTTACAGGACCAAATTATAACCCTAAAATAAAGAATTGATTATAAATCCCCCCCCCCAAAATTCACTCTTAACACTATCAAAACATAGTCTTTCAAACATTCAGAAATTCTCAATTCCTTTTATCAATTACTAAGTCAGTCTATTAATTAAAATGGTAATGTTTTAGATGTAAATTTGAGTGGGATGGTGGCATAATTAGGAAGATGCTTGCCTCCCACTTGGAAGGTTGAGAGTTGAATCCTAAGTAGCAGCAGATGTTTCTCTAGAGTGCAAAGAAAAAATATCTGCAGTGAATTCAGAATGGTTTCAGGAAGGACATCTGGCCAGTAAACAGTTAGCTCCATCCAGTTGCCTCAACTCTACTCCGAATTAAGGAATTACAGGGTTGTAAAAAGGGAGGATTTTTTAGATGTAAACTCACTCTTTTGCCATCTGTACACATTAATCTTAGTAATCTTTACCTTTTACATACCAAGTTTTCTTTAAAGTTATATGCTGGTGCTAAATTAGGAATAAGTTCTACAACATTTATTTTAAACATTTATAAGTCATTGTATGAGCTTTGAGGGGGGAAAGTGTTGCTGTCTCAAAGCACAGATAGAGTGTTTTTTTTCCATTAGAGACCAGTCCTCTTCAGCTACATATTACTATAAAAAAAACCCCACCAAAGGAAACAAAAGCAAATCCCCAGCATTGGACGAGGAGTGGATGTACTATAGGGAATTAAAACCAGATGAAAATGAACAGCCGCTGAGGCGGCAACAGGTATTCATGCAAATCTTCTAAATCCTAGTGCATTACAGAAGCATCATTGATTCAGTCTCAGGAGCCCCTATATTTTAAATCAATATGCCTAGTCATACACTCTATAGCTGAAGTAGATATGATAGTGCCATCCGATTTTATCACATTTAAAATCCAGTGGATGATGACTCAGAACTCAATAATTACTATGGCATGAATCTTGAGGAATGGTGTGGCATAACAGTAAAGGATTGAAGTAAATATCCCCCAGCATCTGCTTCTGGAATTGACCAACAGTATAGGAGCAGAACCATGTAACCCAACATTTTATGCACCCCGGAGGTTGATGGTATTAAAAAAGCATTGAAAGATCTAAGGGAAGGAACATGGTCACATTTTCCACATTCTCTCAGCATACAGCATACGGTGACCAAGGAATTTTTCATTCTAAAATGAGACCTGAAATAAGCTATGGCCTAATTAATGCCCCCTTTAAAGGTAAACCTCTAGCTTAGAAAAATCGTAATCACACATTTTATAACATAGATAGAAGCCATAGATACACAGGCATTTTTTTTTCAGATTGCTAAATCATACACTGAAAGTGGCTTTTGTCTCTTCATGTAGGTACAGCAAAGGGCAGATGAATGCATTAGAGCTCTTAAACTTTTGGTTAAAATTAATTCTGGAGTTCCCACTGAGAACATTTTGCCTTTAAATTTCAACTGGAGACTTTTAAAGGTAAATGAGGTAGAAGATTCCCTTGCTAATTGGAAATTCATAATTTGGTATGTTGTATTATGTATTTCAGACTGGCACTTCGTTTGCTGAAGTGCTGTTGTAAAACAGTTAACCTTTGTTTTTATACTATTGTGATATTGGATGAATCTGATTTCGTGATTCTCTAAAGGTTCAGGTGGTACCAGAAAATCAAATTGATGACTATTAATATAATAATTGCCCTTTTAACATGTATTTCTTTTGAGGTAACTGAATAATGCTTAGACTTGTTAATTTGTGGTAAAGCAATATAAATCCATGATTCCTTCTAAAAAAAAGTGCAGTGCTAAGCAAAGTGTATCATTCAAGAGTTTCCTTAAGAGAGACTGATTAGATGAAAAGCATTTGCTTCAACAGTTCATTGACTAGCCTGCTTCTCACATGGCACAAAACTTCCTAGGCCATCTGCTTTTTTACATGTTAAAACATATTAATTTATCCAAGAGTCTCCTGAGACACCCAATGAATTCTGTGTTCAAGTGCAGCCCTGAAGTAGAATCACCTGAACATAGACAGACCTGAACATAGATCTAAGTCTAGGATCTTACAGCTGCTCATCTAATTCTTTGCAGCAGACCTACTATATCCCTGGTATTAATCTATATGTGTTTTACTCTATCATATGAAGCTCTTTAATAAGGCTGTTCAGATTATTCACCATTTCCAGTTAGTTCTAATCACTATTTAAAACAAAAGTTTGTGATCTTTTTATTACTGTGTACGTTATCCAGAAATATGTCACATTGTAGGCTTAGTGTTAAAGAATTTGCTGAACATAGTTAAGAAATTGGGACATGCTAATCATCTGCAGCAGTTTAATTTTGGCAAAATATGTAGTGACTGATGTCTAAAACAGTTGGAGGGCACTAAGTCAATTCTTGATTTAGAGGAATCAGGATCCTCAGTATAGAATGAATTAAAATAGAATAATCAGATTGAAAACAAAAGGGAATATAACAAAAGAGTCTTAGTGGCACAGCAGACTAAAGTGCTGTTAATAGCACCAACTGCCTGCAATTACTGTAAGTTCAAATCTCACCAGGCTCAAGGTTGACTCAGCCTTCCATCCTTTCAAGATAGATAAAATGAGGACCCGGTTTGTGGGGGCAATAAGCTGACTTTGTATAAAAAAGAACACCGCTGGGGGGGGGCGCAAAGCCCTACTAAGCAGGTATATACAAAAGTATGAAGACTATTGCTTAATGCATTGTAAGCCACCCTGACTCTCCGGAGAAGGGCAGCATATAAATCGAGCCAATAAATAAATAAAACAATAAATATCATTCAATGTCATTTTCTTTTCAGAATTCTATTGACTTACAGAAGATAGCAGCAATGGGGCATTCTTTTGGTGCTGCCACAGTCATAGAAACACTTAGCAAAGATGCACGATTCAAGTAAGAACTAGTAAAAAAAACCCATATTGACCTAGTTGCTCTTTTTTCTTTGCAGTAACATTTGTAGTTGTAAAAGTCAAGGAAGTCAGGGCTTATGCATAACATCAAGAGAAGACTTCTGTCAATTGAATTACATTGATTGCTTGATTGATTGTATGCCATCCTGTCATTGTCAGTTTTTACCAACGACATAGATTTATTTTCTCCATTATGACTTGTCCCTAACCTGGTTCTTCAGTGGTATAGTAATCACCACTGTAACTGAGTCTATCCACTGGTGGTGTGAGGTTCGGGGAGCCGGTAGCGCTGGCGGCGGGAGTCCCAGTTTTGAACCCTCTATGCATGCGCAAAGCCTTCTACACATGTGCAGAAGGTCAAAACCAAGACGTGATGACAGCATGCGCGCTTCCAAGCCGATAGGGAAACCGGCTGCATTTTACCCCTGATATAAATGCACAATAGTAGAACTGCAGATCTAGAATTGATTGATTGATTGGTAAATAGACGTGTATGCTACTTATTCTATAGATTCAAGGTAGCTTGCTTCATAGAACAATAAACATAAACATAAAATCACAGTAAAGAAAATGATTACACAGCATTATATCGGCCAGTTCCAAGCATTTCTAGTAAATGATGTCAGCCTTATATAATACTCTTTCAATGGATTCATCTTGAAATCCACAGCCCAGTATTCATGGAAAGGTCTGTAATTCAGGATAGCCCTCAAATATTCCATGACAAATTCCTTTTGCTTTTCAATCTTTATTAAACAACTTATTTTAGGAGAGCCCACCGCCTCTTAATGTTGAACATGTCTTACAGAAAGTTTCTCCTAATGGAACTTAATAAAATTAACATAAAATATCTCTTATGGATGTAGATTTGTGATCTATAGCATCTATGTGGACTTTAGGATGTGCAAACTGGTACTGACATGTTATAGAACTTTTTTTTCTGAACAGATGTGGTGTTGCTCTTGATGCGTGGATGCTTCCGCTATCTGATGAAGTATATCCCAAAGTGCACCAGCCATTGCTCTTTATTAATTCAGAAAAATACCAGTGGGCTTCAAATATCCTAGAGATGAAGAAACTTAACTATAAAGGCAGAGAAAGAAAAATGATAACTATTATGTGAGTGTCAAATATCGGTAGCCTTAGTCTCTTTCTCGTTAAGAGGCATGGGATTATAGAGTTAAATTTATATAGTTTAAAACTAATTGGATGCAACTGAGATAAGCACCCATATCACCTGCAAGTGGAGTTCCAAATTATTATTTTTAAATCTTAAATGGTAAAAATCTCATAAGACTAAAATGACAAAATCCCAGAGATGACATCCCATGTTGTTATTCGTCCCTCTGAATTTTAGTTATTCCACAGGGAGCCTGGATTACATAACCCATCATGCAAGATTGAACAGTGAAGATAATTCATTGGTCTTTCTCAGACTGCCTGGGATTCTTTTGCTGGGATTAATTTTCCATTATTGTCCATCCTGAGAATATTGTTATAGTACTCCTCTTTCAAGGTCTAAATATTCTTTCTGTGTTCTTATTGATCAGGAATATGGTGTAGGTAGATATAATGGTATGTAATGGTATATAGGGTCTTCTGTACCTATAAGACCTACGTCTCCCGCTTGAGCAGGAGGTTGGGCTAGAAGACCTCCAAGAACCCTTCCAACTCTATTATTCTGTATAGGTTAATCTCCTCTGGATCCTCTGTTAAATACAAGGCAATATATCCTTTATTTGGTCACATTTAATTGCACCATTAATTACACACTTTTCATATCTGGGTGATTTCGGCTGTTGGAAAAGTATGTAGAGCTGGTCTTGGAAAGGGGAAAGGAATTATTGAACCATTAAGGGGCAACTTTCAGAAAAGATTTCTTTTTTTTCATTTTGAGAAAACGGAAGTGTAAAATGAAGAAACTCAGACAGATTTTCAAGATTCTGGTTTCTTACCCTACAACAAAGTGTGAGAGTCACCTTGTAGGAGAGATGGATGGCATACAAGTTAAAAAAAATTAAATAAAAAAAATAAATAAGGTGACTTCCTGGAATCCTTGCTAGTTCTGTTTCTTTGCCTACTTTGAAGGGCTGACAACTCTGTTGCCTAAGCAGCCAGTCACTTGATTGTGAGATGGGCAGTATATACATTTAATAAATAAATAAAAACTTATATAACTAGGGCCTGCAAGCCACTATGTCATAACTAAAGGCTGTGCCCATGTTGTAACATTCTGTGTTCTATTCCAAATTAAAAACAGCAGTTAATATACAATACCCAATAGGTTAAGATTGCTGATGGCTTTCTTGAAAGATTACTCGTTGGGGCTGAATCAAATGCAAACTTAATAGGTCTACATGAAGACATTTCAGCAACGTAATGTACCTCTAATGCTTGATCACCCATAGAGCATGTTTTCCTAAAACCTGCTTGCTTTTCTGCAATTCCACCTTATTCAAACCAGATTAATAACAACTTACTATGGCAGAGGTTTCTTTATTCCCTTTTCTAAAAATGAGGATTATTATAACTAAACCCCAGACCTCTGGGATGTTTGCTGTTCAGTCAGTGATGTGAGTAAGAAGTCAGGACTAATAACCACCAATTAGTATTTTCCTTTAACACTTCCATTGGAATAAAATCACATCCATGGGCCTACAAAGGCATCCTTTCTGAATGAGATCAAATATTTTTTCTGCACTGTTTTAAAAGTGGACATTTCTCTCCCTGTCTCTCTGGATTTATTTACAATATTACTGATAGTGATCAGCAAGTAATTTAGCAGAATACAGATATTGTGTAGGATAGCTTTTAACTATTGTAACCTTGCTATATACATGATTAAAATAATCTGTATGATCTCATTTAAATAACCAAACATGAATACTGTTCAACAGGAACTGAGTTTTACCCCATCTTTCAATTGTAGTTGCATTCCTTTGATCTCCAAAGAAAAAGTTTTTGAATCTATTTTTAGTATAATGATAATAAACAATTCTAACTTATTATTACTGCTGGGAAAAAAAAAAGACCAGAACATTACCACTACCAAAACCCTTGGGACGAACATGTGGAGGTAACACATAAAGAAGAAAACAAAAACTTTCAGAATCAAACATATTTAATTAGGTTCCATGAATTTCAGCAGTGTTTGCAAAGATTCCCTCTTGTAGGCAGACTTGTTTGGTTACTGGTTAGGCTTACCCTTATGCATTTTTGCTGTTTTCAGAGGATCAGTACATCAGAGTTTTCCTGACTTTACATTCCTTACCGGAAAGAAACTTGGGAAGATTTTTAATCTGATAGGAGATATAGATCCACAAATAGCTATTGATATTATCAACAAAGCTTCACTGGCGTTCTTACAGAAACATTTGGGTAAGTTGCTGCTTTGCTTTTATATTTAACTTTTTTAACACCCTGCATTCACTACACGTTGATAAGATGATACGTTTCAGACAATATCTTTCCACCTATGCATCACAATATTTGATGCAACTTTAGTGTTTGATCACTAAAGCTACCTGAAAATATAATGCATACATGCATATAAAATAGAACATGTTACAAGTTCACAGAGAGAAAGAGACACTCAGACAGATAGAAAGACAGTTTGTTGTAGTGGTTAAGGTTAAAAACCAGGAGACTGTGAGTCCTACTTTTTAAGCACAAAGCCAGCTGCGTGACCTTGAGCCAGTCACCTTCTCTCAGCCCTGGGAAGCGGGCAATGGCAAACCATTTCTGAAATCTTGGCAAGAAAACTGCAGGGGCTTGCCCAGTCATCAGGAATCAAAAACTGACTCAAAAGGATCCCAAAAGTGTGATGTATCGTCCAATTACATTGACCAACTGAAGGCGTCAGATGATTAGTTTCCTCCTTATTGGAACTCCTGAGACACAGGTAGCCAGATGTTTTTCTATGGGGTTGGAACCCTCTCCTGGAAATTGAGCTCATAGACTTTTGCACTTCAGATGACTAGTATATACGGTGCACTATCTTTAGAAGCTATGCAGATTCTGATACTCAGTGGTTTAGAGACTGTCAGAATGGTATAAATACAGCCCACCTTTCCTTAAGTTCTCAGAGCAGAGAACTGCAAATGCTAAATTGTCATACTCTCAAGTATGGGGTTTAGCATGACTTCCAACTGGTTACATCTGACTACCTCCTGGTGGTCAGTGTAACTGAAAATACCATACTTCAAAAGGAGGAGTATGGGGAATCGAAGTCATACAGCACCTGTATCTCTGCTCTGAGAGCTTAAGGGAAAGTGGGCTGTTTATAACAGCGATGCCAAATCTTTTGGGCAGAAAATGCCTAATTTGACTCTGCGGACATGTCTCATATATACAAACACACCCCGAAAAAAAGAGAAACAATTCTTTACATATTTGTTCATTTTAAAGAATGGAGTCCAGTCGTGTGCGTGATCACCAAGACCTGCTGTATTCCACTTACCTTTAGGCTCTGTTTTCTTTCTGTTGACAGACCCTTGCAGCCTACCTGAGGCAACTTTGCTCACACAAGGCGTTTAAGCGGCTTCAGAGAATGGTCTTCTATGGCCTCTGAAAACACTGTGAAAACACAACCTGTTCTCATGTGATTTTCAGAGACCCCAGAGGCCGTGCAAGAGCATAACTCTCACAAACCACTTTGAGTATGGAGGCTGCGCACACCCCAGTTCTCACATGGTCTATACAACCTACAAAAATCACATAATGGGATGTGCTTTTGAGAATAGTTGCTGTTGGGTGTCAGTGAATGCTGGTGTGTCATCCAAATGTTGTGGTGTGTCACCTTTGACACATGTGTCATAGGTTTGCCATCACTGGTCTATACCATTCAGATTCATCTCCCAAGCATCTGAGTCTTTTAAATACTACCGTTTCCCCAAAAATAAGACATCCTGATAATAAGGCCAATTGGACTTTTGAGCACATGTGCTAAAATAAGCCCCCCCTGAAAATAAGCCCTCCCCGAAAATATTTAAACGCATGCGCAGCCGGTCCCTGCCATTTCCTCTTCATGCCCCAAAATAATAAGACCTCCCCCAAAATAAGGCCAAGCACTTATTTCGGGGTTCAAAGAAATATGTCAGGGTCTTATTTTCGGAGAAATACGATACACAGAATAAAAATAGTGTTTCTTTTAAAGCTGAACTAAAGAACCAGTCATATAAGGACTGCTTGTACTTACACTTGTTTAGCATGAGCATTTTTAATATATAAAAAGGCTTAGATTACATACCAGTTATTCACAATTAGACTAGAGAGTAAATTCTATCTAAGCCACTGAGACATATGACCTTGATACCTGAATGGGACCCTGATACCTGTATGATTTATATCAAACTGGTTATGTACTGAAATATATTTAGAGGCTTTCCTCCAAGTAACCCCTTTATTACAAATTATCTTGTCAATAGCAGAATCTTACCAGTGGAATTTTTTCCCTGAAGATGTGAACATTGCCAGTGGTTAAACTTTTTAGTGCTGAGTCTCCTAATGTTTTTGTATTTTCTAAATTGTTTGTAAGTTTCTACCTCCTCTGGAAGCTTTATTGAAAAGTGGTACATTGACCTTGCAACTCAGTTTAAAAATCTTTCCAGATTTTATAAATTAAGAGACTTAAAATGTGCTGTTTAGATGAAGTCAGCCATCCATATTTATCACTATGACTTTTTTGTTTCCAGCATGTCAGTTTTAGAGCATCAAAGCAAGCTTAATTTTAATATATTGTGACTTAGAAATATTCATATTTTCTTTGAATACAGTTTAATATTTTCATATATTTATATGTGCCATCTGATTTGAATTTATCTTATCTAGGTCTCTCTAAAGATTTTAACCAATGGGACTCTCTTTTGAATGGCAAAGGACCTAATGTCATTCCAGATACCAACGTTGACTTAACTCCAGGAGCATCTCAGTGAAAATAAACATTAATTGTCCTTAAATATTCCTGACTAAATGTTGTTTGTTTCATGATAGTTCCATTGGAACGAGTGTGTTTTAGAACATTTGAACAAAGATGTTACAGGTGATTCCCATTTAACAACACTCATTCAGTGACCATTCAAATTTACAACGCTGGTGAATAGGAGTTGCAACTGGTCCTTGAAGTACCAGATATCGCAGAACCACCTTAGTCACATGATTGTGATCTGGCACAGCATCCCACAGTTGTGTGATCATAATTTGTGACCTTTCCTGCTGGCAAAGTCAAGGGAGAAGTTGGTAGGAAGTCAGAAGTTTCAAATATATTAAATCCTTGCTTAATGACAGTAATTGGGGACACCCAGGATGCCACTGCTAAGCAGCCTGATCATGTAATGTTGCACTTTATGACCACATTGCTTAGTGATGGAAATTCCAGTCCCAATTAATGTCACTAAGCAAGGACTGCTTGTACTGAGTTGGTTTCTAATGTTAAAGAAAGAACAAAGAAAGGAACCAAGTGAACATCAGTTATTAAAACAATTTATTGGTAGAGATGCTTCAGACATGATATTCCTACCATTACATGGATTTTTAAAAGCTGACAGTCTGACAGTGTTACTATTCTTGCAAATAATGTGTGAATTCTAGAAGGGCTGGTGCTGTAATTCCCAGGAGTTAAACCGAGAGTGGGATGTCACAAGAAACCAGATAACCTCTTGGTTTACCTCTATATTTCAAAGTAGAAGTTGCTTCTGCAAGAGTATAATAGTCATCATCTTCATTTACTCATCTGAGTAAATTGTCAGCTGGCACTAAATAAATGTGGTCCATTAAATGATGGGACTAGGAAAGTAGTTTATTTGTATATATATTTGATTCCAGTGGGCTAAAGTTTTTGCCTTCCCCACATTAGGATGTTCAGTCCTCCTTTTGAATTGAAATTTACTGTTTAATTTATATGCCACCCATCTTGATATCACACAATTCCTAGTGGCTTACAACATGGCTTACTATTACTTCTACAAGTCATGTTTAGTGGCATTGTTTAGGGTAAATTGAGCTATAACTAGCTTAATGGACCAAAGTAACTTAGGGAGATCACATGCCTGCTACAGGTTACAAATATGGCCATTTACCACTCTACCTTATGATGGGCCCTCGAGTTCTTTTTGCATTACTTCAGCAACCAGAAGGAAAGTATGGTCATAGCTCTTCTGGTTTGGCGTCGCGGTGAGACAGTTGGAGAAATAGCGGGCTCTGATGAGTCCTGTGAAAACCCCAGCTGCCGAACCGCCACCGATGGATCTTCGGACTGAACCTGTCTTGCAGGGACGGGGGAAGAAGAGGGGCGCTTCGGACGACCGAGAGGAACAGGCAAGTTCCTCGGAGGTCGGAGGGAACCCTCTATGAGACGGTGGCGGGGGTGGCAGCCATAGCGGCTGCCACGAAACTGGGACAACTGGGCAAGAAAAGTACTGGAGGAAAGCGGAGAAAAATGGAGGCTTTTGAAGCCGGGTGAGTGACAACAGCCCAGGCTTGTAACAACATTTGGAGCATTACTAATTATTAGAAGACCCCTAGCCTAAAACAGCGGCTATGTAACAAAGGGGCTTTGGAAAAAATTTTAAAACTACAACTTTAAAGAGACAAAGACCCGAGAAACAACTAATTTTGGAACAGAATTAAGAGAATTAATCTAGAGATATGGTTAAAAGACTAAACACTCTAAAAATCTGAATTGGATTTTAAAAGAAAAAAAAGATTTTTAAAATCTGCTCTGGCTTCCGGTGGTCTTCCGGGTGCACTTCAAGGTGTTGGTGGCCACCTTTAAAGCGCTCCATGGCTTAGGGCCGGGGTATCTACGAGACCGTCTTCTGCCAATAGCCTCCCACCGGCCAGTTCGCTCGCACAGAGGGCCTCCTCAGGGTGCCGTCGGCCAGACAATGTCGGCTGGCGACCCCCAGGGGGAGAGCCTTCTCTGTGGCGGCACCTGCCCTCTGGAATGACCTACCCCCAGAGATACGCACGATACCAGACCTCTGGACTTTTCGTCGGGCCCTGAAAACACATCTATTTCATCTGGCCGGGCTGGCTTGATCCCATCCTTTCGGTTTTAATTTGAAATTGGTTTTAACTGGGTTGTTTTAAATTGAGGGCCGAAATTATTTAATGTCTTTTAAACTGTTTTTTAAATTTTATATGTTATGTTTTATCTCGGCTGTTCACCGCCCTGAGTCCTGTTGGAGAAGGGCAGTATAAAAATTAAATAAATTAAATAAATAAAAGAGGAAGATTGGATGGTTATATAATAATAAATAAAATGGAGTCTTGCATGACTAATGGAAAATGTGGATTATAGAGACACCATCTGGCATAAAGAGGAACTTTGTAATTTCCCTTTGTTATGGGAAACTCGTGAGCTTTACAGATAAAAACTACTGAACTCTGTGGAGGAGGATTTTTCTTTCCTGCATGCAGGCAGGTTGACTATGGTTAAAAGAAAAGAAATCTACAATGGAACTCCTACAGTTGAAATAATAGTAATTTAAATGCTGGCACAGGAATAGAAGGATTAAGCGCAGCCTCAAAAGAAAAAGATTTGATACATCATATCCGGAATAAAAATAAGAAAAGAGAATTAACTTAATTTATGGAGAACTAAATTAAAAACTTGGAAAATGGAAGGAAATATATGTTTGCATGCGAGGAAATGAAGATAATGTGATAAAAATAAAATAAAGATGGATTGTAATAATAAAACGGGTTTTTTTTATTGAAATCAAGAATGTTAAAAGAAATTAATACATGTAAAGATATGTTTGATGCAAGAACTATGTTTTAATGTTAAAATGCTAAGGAAAAGAATAAGGATAAATATGATTAATTAAAAATGTTAAAAGGAATTTATAAATACAGTTAAAGATATGTTTTAAGCAGGAACCATGTTTCAATGTTAAAATGTTATGTCATGAAAAAGGATACAGAAAAATAAGATTATGTGAAAAAGCAATGCATAGATGGATGGAAACAACAAAGAAAGATTTAAGTAGAGATTGAAAGTTAAACCAACTATGAATATGCTGTGTTTAACAGCCAAAAAGTTATAATATGCTGTGTTGAACAGCCAAATAAAATTATTATGCTGTGTAACAGCCAAAACAAAACTGAATATGCCGTGTAACGGCCAAAAAACCAAAAATGAATATGCTGTGATTAACAGCCCAAAAAAAATGGAATATGCTGTGTAACAGCCAAAAAACAAAAATTAATATGCTGTGTTTAACAGCCAAACAAGAAAGGGCATGCTATGTAACAGCCAAAAAATAAAAAAGGATATGCTGTGTTCAACAGCCAAAATAAATGGTTATGCTGTGTTTAACAGCAAGAAATAAAAATGATTGGTTTAACAACAAAGATAAAGACAATAACAATGGGTTTGTTTAGGAAAATATAAAATGAGGTGGGATAAGTAAAGTGAGATGGTGTATGTTGAGAGTGATAGTAAGATAAAATGAATAAGTTAGGTTCAATAATAGAAATAAAGAGTATAAATTTTGAGTTTAATAGTTAGAAATAAAATGGGTATGTTGAAATTAAATATTTTTGGAATGTTTAATATAATTGTATGATTTATATTGTTAAAATATATCTATCAAAGCAAATGAAAGAGAAAAATGGATTGATAATTGGTTAGATTTAAGATTTAAGTAACAAATTTTTGGGGATAATGGCATAGTTACATAGACAGATTTGAGGGAACTCCTTGTTTAAAATATTTAATTGTGTCAATTGAAAAATAAGATTTGTTAATGATTTGCTTTAATATGTGGAGCATATACGGAGCAAAAGCTTTATTTTGAAAAGATGTGTTTTATGTTGTTTTAAAAATAAAATAAATAAATAAATAAAAAAGTATGGTCATTAATTAGATTTTCCAATATCTGGATCCTTGCTGTGCTATAACCAATGGAAACTAAAACCAAGTTTCTATATTTAATATACTCTGAATATATAATTATCCATTCCCTCAGCCACTCCATGTTGCCAGTACCTCAGGTATGCAGTGCAATGCATATATATAATTCAGTTTTTCATATTACAATGTTGGATCCAGAAATATTCACTATCATTTTTGTTGAAAGCAAGCTAAAATTAAATATTGGCATGAGGTTTATTTCTGCTTACATTTAAGATCTATGCTTGTCACCAGGAATCCAAAAGAATACCTGGCATCCATCTAACTTAGCACAGGGATATAGAATACCAGCTGGAGTATAGTACAGTGACTCTATTTCAATTATTACTCAGGTACATAATTTGGTAATTTTGAATTTGGCTAAATTTATTTTTTATTTTTATTTTATATTAAATTTATATACCGCCCTTCTCCCTGAGGACTCAGGGCGGTGTACAGCCAAATAAAAACAGACTACAAACATTAAAATACTATTAAAAAGATATATATAAATTTGGCCCCGTAATTAAAAGACAATGACAAACCAATTAAAAACATTTAAAAGTGTTAAACCAGCCCGGCTTGCTGAAAAAAGAAAGTTTTAAGGGCATGGCGGAAGGCACCGAGGTCTTGGATTTTCCTTATCTCGGGGGGCAGCTGGTTCCAGAGGGTAGGTGCCCCCACAGAGAAGGCCCTCCCCCTGGGGGTCATCAGCCTACATTGTTTGGCTGATGGCACCCCGAGGAGGCCCTCTCTGTGGGAGCGCACAGGTCGATGGGAGGCCGTCGGTAGCAGCAGGCGGTCTCGAAGATATCTAGGTCCTATGCCATGGAGTGCTTTAAAGATGATAACCAACACCTTGAAGCGCACCCAAAAGACCACTGGGAGCCAGTACAGCTCACACAGGAGAGGTGTTGTATGGGAGCGCCATGCAGCTCCCGTAACTACCTGCGTGGCCGCATTCTGGACCAGTTGGAGCCTTCGGGTGTCCCTCAAGGGGAGCCCCATGTAGAGAGCGTTGCAGTAGTCCAGGCGAGAGGTGATGAGGGCATGAGTGACTGTGCGCAGGGAATCCCAATCAAGAAAGGGCTGCCACTGGCGTATCAGGCGAACCAGTTGACCAGGAAAGCGAGATAGACAGACTGTCTTCAAAAACAAAGTACTTCTTCAGCAGTATTGTCAACACTTCCATGTTTTTTCCCCTTCTACCACTTTAGGAGTTATTTTGAAAATGAAAGGACTTAATAATATAGGATTAGCCTTGCCTATCCCAGATATATGGACTTTGATTTTGATTAGGCCATTTCTGGCTTCTTCCCATCTCTATCCCATAAAGTAACAAAATAATTACCACCACCATCCCAAAAAAACCCCAAAACAAAACAAAAGCAGATCTGGCTTTGCAAAAAAAAATCATGTAGGAGGTTGATAAATTAGTTCCCCATGTGGTTAACAGTAAGCACACCCAGCATGTCATGTGAATGCAATTGCTACATTTGGTTTCCCACTTTTTGAAAGGCTAGAATTTAGGTAAAAGCTAGATTTGAATATCAGTTGATCTCTTTGAGGGTTGTTTAGAAATGTAAAAAATAAATTCAATAAAAATATAATAATTAGAGTTTTCAAGATAAGTTATTCTTTAGAGTGCAATTCAAGTGAAAGAATGCTTTGAATGCTTTTATTGATTTCTTAAATGTATTTTTATTATAACAATATTTTGAACAGTATTTTAACAGAAAGGTAGAATACAAGCAAAATTGAAAATATATCTTTAAAACTGGTAACCAGTTCTGTTGTTATTTTAATATAACCTCTACTCCAAATCAGCTATCTTTCTGAGCTTTGGTAGTACATCATATCTGGGTTTCAGATTCTGAGACTTTTACCATGACTGAAAGACATCTTCTATTTCTCAGTTCTACCCCCAGGAACACTGCTGCTATGTTGATTAACCATTTGGAATAAACCTTCTATGCTATCTTATACTGAGGAGCTAAAGGGGAACTTTAAGTTATATTTTAATTTTTAACATAAGTTCCCTGAAATGATAGGAGCTCTCTACTACTATATTTAAAGTTGTATAAAGCATAGATAAAATTATGTATCAAAGCATAGATCAGAATGATGAAAAAAAATCAATATATGGTCAGCTACATCACTATGATCACAAATTTTCCAAATGTAAGAGTATGAAACAACAGAATGAATAGCTCAAGTATGTTTTATTTCTTTCATTAACAAAAAGGAAATTAACAACATGGAAAACCTTTCCATATTGCCATACCATTTTGAAAGTAAACTCAAAATATGAAAAAATATATAATTCTCCCCCCCCCCGCAAACTAGCCCCAAAATTTAAATATTCTTAGACAATGAACAGTGCTACAAATCTAAAACCTTGTTCCTGACCCTTAACTAGGAGCATTATACAAAACAATGGCAAACATTCCTGAAGGATATGAGGGAAAAAATCTTTATAAGCTCTACTGGTTTGGACAGGACATGCCTGACAAAACTCTTGGCTTTAGTTAGAGAAAATTTGAATGTAAAATGATTTAGCATTGCTCAGTTGTACTCCCAGTGCTGTCACAACTCAAATGAGTTGGTGTACTGTCATCTGAATCATGAGTCATTTCTTCCACTATAAGAAATAAAATAGTTTATTTTAAAGTAAAATAAATGTATTTTAAAAAACCACAACTATTTGCATATGGATTAAATTAAAATTCTAACTAAATTTCTTCACTTTCCTGGGTCATACTAATGAAACATACAGAAGTCATATTCTTTCTTCACATTGCTCTAATTCTAAAAGGATTTAATTCATGTGACTAGGTCCCATGACCTAGCAATTTTCTTCAGAAAAAAGGAAATTAATTCTGCTTAATGGAAGGTTAAGTATACAGGTAGTCCATGACTTACTAGCAATCATTTAGCAATCATAATGACCCTGGAATGAGTACTTTACGGCCCATAAAGCACTTGCTAAGGTAAACTGTTGTGCCAAGGCCTCCCTGGTCACCTGACTGCATTTCAAACACTTGGCAACCTGTTCGCATTTACAACCAGCTGCCATTGGCACTGTTCTTAGCTGGCTTCCCACATTGCAAGTAGAGGAAACGTTGGATTAGAGGTTCATTTCCTCAGCATGCCAAGAGATTCCCCCCCCCCCCGCCCCACTGCTTAGTGACAGAAAATCATTCTGCAACTTAAAGAAACAGACATCAAATGTAGTGCAAACACCAGTGTCTATGGAGATTCTCAATCATCCAGGTCATAGTTGTCCCAAAGGTGCTTTTTCAAGAGGCAACTGAACTTTCTGTTTTTTCTTTGAAGACATTTCGCTTCTCATCCAAGAACTGAAGAAGCTTCTTGGATGAGAAGCGAAATGTCTTCAAAGAAAAAACAGAAAGTTCAGTTGCCTCTTGAAAAAGCACCTTTGGGACAAACACCAGCGATTTTGTGATCTTTCCTTGGTGGGGTGACATGTTAGACCCTCTCCATTATGATCTATTTAATAACCTCAACTGGGAGAGCTGGGATGGTGGTTGTTGAGCAAAGCAGGCACACACTGCAGCTCATGATGAAAGCATTCCTGGAGAACCAACCACGGGTTTCAGCAAAGAGTGGAGGCAAGTCCAACATTGACAGAGCCTACCTACAGGTTCTCTCCTTGCTTGACCTAGCCTTTCTGCTGCAAAGCCTTGGAAGGGGTGAGCAGATTCCAACCTGAGCTGCAGCATATCCTACTCCTACAGGATACACTCACCACTCTGTAGGCTGACAAGATGAGGGTGCTACATCTTGTCAACTGGTCCTGTTGCATTCTCCAATTTGAGGGCTGGTAATGAAAGACAAGTCTCCACCAACCATGCCACCCTCCTTCTTCCAACACTTCTGTCCTGCTGCCTCTTCCCTAGCCAGGCCTGTTGAACTCCTTCCACAGAGGAGGCTCTGCCACCCTGCCATGTGTATTCAGGGGTTGCACCCTTGCCAGCACAAGGATCCTGGGCCAGCAGTGGGAGGAAGAAGACAGCAAAGATTAGCTGGGAGGGGGTGGTAGCAGAGGGAATAGGCAAAGGTGTGTACTGTGGAGGATAGTCAAAAGGGCGAGACAGATGGAGGGGGGTTGAAGCACAGGCAGTTCATGTAGGGCAGCAGAATATGCTGCATTATTTATAAATGTGGGCAGGGTGCAGGGTGGATAAAAATCAACGATTTTTTTTAAAAAATCAAAAAAATCAGATTTTTTTAATTTAAATCGGATTTTTTTGATTTAAATCGGATTTTTTTGATTTTTATCGAATTTATTTTAATAAAAAACTTTTGGGGTAAAAATCTATCGTAAGATAATTTTCTATTTAAGATACATACATAATTTAGTTTATTCAGCATGAAATGGAGCTTAGTTATGTAGCATGAGGCTGTATATTCTGCAACACTGGGACTATCGGTGAGTCAACAGTGGGTCAAAGGAGTAGCAGAGATGACAGTTGCTCTTTAAAAATTATGATTTAAATCGAGTTGATTTAAATCAAGCCTTTTTACTAGTGATTTAAATCATGATTTAAATTGTGATTTAAATCATCTCGATTTAAATCAAATCCACCCTGGCAGGGTGCCAAGGAACCAAATTTTGATCACATGACTGCAGGAATGCTGCAACAGCCAGAGCTTCGAGGATTGGGCGTAGGTTCCATTCATTCAATGATATTATATTTCATCCAAAATACATAAAAGATAGTCCTTGACTTACAACTACAATTGGGACCAGAATTCCATGGTTGTAAGTCAAGGCATTCATGAGACTAGACCCGATGTTACTATTGTTTTTACAGCGGTCATTAAGCAAATCACAGTTGTAAGTCTGAATCAATTCTCCTGAATGGGCTTTTTTTTTGCCAGAAACTGATTGCACATTGCAAGCAGTCATAAATGTGAATCAATTGCTAAGCACCCAAATCATTAAACAACCAGTCCTAAGTCGAGGACTACCTGCACTGAATGGTTTAGTTCTTCAAATAGCAAGAAGTTGTATGTAGAATCCATACAGGGAGCTGAGTTCTACACTGAATCCATCTAGAGCACCAATAAACAAAGACTGAAAATTTTAATATTCCACAATTTATAACTGTAATTGTAAGCAGTTATGGTCAGAAGTGATATTGTAAAGCAGGTCATCATGTGACCGATCCAAAAAATGACCTTTTTTGTACTAGTTGTTAAGCAAACACCACGGGGAAACCACAGACAGACATAAAAGCGGGCTGATTGCCAAATGCCAAAAATGTAGTTACATGGGGGGAGGGGGGGGCGCCAATAAGAATTTCAGAAATGAGTCATAAGTAACTTGGGGGTGGGTGTCTGTTGTAACTTCAAATGGTTGCTAAGCAATCGGTCGCAAATTCAGGACTACCCATATACTTGTTTGCAACTACATTTCACAATCCAAGATCAGTCACAAAGGTATTCTTGGCAAACCCATTTACCATTACTGATTGGAAAACTTAATTCACCTAGGAGGAAATCCAATAAGCTTTCAAGGAACCAGAGAAGTAATAAAAAATAATTTGGAGGATATTCGGTTAATATAGGATACCAGGAAAAGTGAGACTGGTAATAAACAGATAATAAATTACCCTTTTAGTTCTCAGCCTTTTCTCACCCTTCTTTAAAATTCAGATGCTGGTAAAAGAGCAGATTGCTTTTGCTACAGAAACTGATACCAAAGATCAGTGAGCCTAGAGATTTCATATAACTACCATGAATAATAATCTTTTTTTTGTCAGAGTAAACAATCTTTATCCCCCAGATGTTTAAAACTATAATCTCTATAGTCCTTTGGCTGGGATGGAGAGAACTGAAATCCAAATATCTGTCAAAAATCCTTAGCTAACAGCCTCCTCACTGCCACAAACTTCACAATTTGTCCTTCTAATTTCTCAGTTTTAGGAAAACAGCTGATTTACTGCTTGTCATTTTGCAATCAGCACAAAACCTTTTCAGATCATCAAGAAGCTTTTGTAAAATCATATAGTAGCTATTATATAGCTAGAAAGGGCATTCGGCAGACACTGCCCTGTGGATCATGCTAGAACAGGAAAGACATTTTCTTGTAGCCACAGATTGGACTTCTTTGTCTTCAAGAGAAAATAAATTAATCTCCCCCAAATGGGAAGAAGTCTAATTTAGGAGGAAATGACTTGAACAGTACGGGTTGGTACCTGCAATAGCCCTTAATTAATACTCCCAATTCCCTAGAAATTTGCGGCCCATCTATCTAGGATAGCAAAAGGAATGCTATAGAGCAGCATGTATCCTGCAAGCCACTGGCTGCCAACTATTAGGAAAAAGGAGATATTTTGAAAAGGAAGAATTTTAGCAAATTATATGCAGATCTGGGAAGGCAATTTCAAATATACATAATAGCTGGGGCAGAGTTTTTTTTGAAGAAAACCAAATCTATTTGCAATATTATAAAGAGAGAAGTGGGGCTGAACAGTATTCTTTATGAAATTGGTAGTATTTCTACTCAGCTGAGAACTGTTACAACTTAAAACATGATGTAGAGTATAAACACACTTATTTCTACTCTCATAAATTCTGGAAAATTAGAAATGATTTACTTGTATATTTGCTTGAGTAGGAAAAAAGACACTTGAAAAAAAAAGCGAGCACAAAAAAAAAAAGGCACAGAGTAGTACATATATAAAATGTGTAGTACAAGTTCACATTCTTGTTAAACCTACCTTCCATTGCCAATGGCACAGGGTGCAAGTTATCTGTTTTATTCTTGGACATTATCTAAGAGGAAAAAGAAAAATAATTTCTAGAAGAACAGCTTACAAAACAGAACAATACTCAATGAATACCCTATGTTTATTGTTGGGCAGCATACTAAGATTCATTGCTTTTAAACTATGCTACTTCCTCAGTATGTAATATGTCCAAAACACTCCATATTGTATCTTCTTGTTAGGCTTCTATTCCAGCACTGAAATATTACTTAGCATTTCTTATCAGAAAATGGCATGAGGGGGAATAATTACAAAATAAATATTTATTTAATCATTATTTTTATTTCAAGAGTATCAGGACTGGGAGGGCGTGGGTGGCCTAGCGGTTAAGGTGCTGGACCTATCAACTGGAAGGCCCGCAATTCAAGACCCAAATACCACATGACGGGGTGAGCTCCTATTCCTGCTCCAGCTCCTGCCAACCTAGCAGGTCAAAAACATGCAAATGCAAGTAGATAAATAGGTATCACTTCAGTGGGAAGGTAGAGTGCTCCATGTGCCTTGGCATATAGTCGGCATATAATCATACTGGCCAAATGACTACAGATACGTTTTTGGACACACTGGCTCCCTCGGGTGAGAAACAGAGAAGAGCACTGCCCATTAGAGTGAGATACGATTAGACAGGGGAAACCTTTACTTTATTGGGACTGGAATGCATCACAAAAAATGAAAAGTTTAATTCTTTGCTTCTCAGTACCAATTCCAACCAAAATTATTTGCTTCCAATGTCTGCACAGTATGGCAGCTAGTTGTTGAAGAATCAAGTTCTTGTCAATGCCATCCCTACCCTTTTCTCCCACCTTAACAGTACCACTGGAATGGAGTTCATCAAGAATTCAGCTGAGAGAGATTTACAGTAGGTCTTATTTCCCTGTATAGGACAGTTACAATGTTAAGCTATGTACTTGTATGTGTATGGGCTACTTAAAGACATAACCATAAAAGCCTTAATGAAATCACTTTTTGGGGGGGAAAGAACCTATCAGAATCTACCAGAAGTCCTGTAAGAATCACAATGTGCTTTACTAAGGAAGATTTATTTTTAAAAATATACAACCTGGCTACCAATATCTGTTCTGTCCCAGCTACAGATCCCAAAGAATGTAGCACACACAAACTCTGAATAAAACTCAGTTTACTTCAAAACACAGTCTTTTGCAAATGCAGGCTGTTAATAAAACGTTCTTAACAACCTGCCAGAAATTCCACAGATAAAATAGAGTCTTACAAGAGTTGGCAGAAAGCCCAGAAGCCAGGTTTGCAGAGAAAATCCAAACTCAATGATCAGCAAACGAACGTTGTTTCCTGCAGCTTTTTACAAGCTGTGTGCAAACTTAAATAGGCTAAGGGAGTGGCCAATTAGCCCCAAGCCTTACTCTCGAGACCTCCTCCTGAGTAACCATTCCTGCCTTTTGGCAGCTCTGCTTGCCCGTGCATTGAGAAGAGGCTCCTCCACTTCATCCTCTTCACTTAAAGGAGCCTCTGGAGGTTCTGAAGGCCCTGGCTGAATCCCTGCCTCTGGCACTACATCTTCTTCAGCCTCCTCGCTGTCCAACTCGAGCACCGGCTGCACAGGCTGCTGGCGCGACACCACACCAGCCTCATCGTCGGGATCAGCAACAATCCGCACAGGCTGCTGGCGGGCCACAACAATATCAGAATCTCTGTTAGACCTTACTACTTAAAAAATATGCGGGTGATGAGTTGATGAAATAGCAGCAAGCATAAACATGTGTTCTTACATAAATTAAGATAACTTCAGCACAGGATTTTATTAAAAAGTCATCTTTCTTTGGTATTTTTTTCTAAGTTCTTTATAGGAGCCATTTCAGTTTTTTGTTTTGCTAACTAGGCTTATTCTTAAAACACTTGTTTGCATGGAAAGTTTTTAAAATAGTTCTCATGGCTAATTGGAGGAATTCCCCCCTCTATCTATCATTATCATTATCTATCATTTTCTATTGATTATCTGTATTAAACGTACACCAGTGGTGGGTTCCTCCCAGTTCCTCCGGTTCCTTCGAGCCGGTAGCGGTGACGATATGACATCACCGAACTGGTTCTGCCCCCCCGCTCCCCCGCATTATTCTTACCTTTTATTTGGCCCCACCCCCAATCTATTGCTGCCTCCTGAGTCCCAGCTGATGGGCTATAAGGAAAAACTGGTTAAACTCTTGCCGCAGGGCTTCAAAAGGCTGCCCTACAGCTGATCAGTGATAAAAGGTAGACCGGTGCCTCCAAAAACAAATGAATAGACCGGTGCCTGCAAATATAAATGGGTAGACCAGTGCCTGCAAAAATACGAGTAGACTGGTGTCTGCAAAAATAAATGGGTAGACTGGTACAGCTCTGCAAGCAGTTAAAAGCCTGGTAGACCAGTACCTCTGCTAAATCCTAAAGAATTGTCACATGACCATCAAGCCACAATATAAACCAGGCCCACAGAACCGGTAGTAAAAATTTTTAGAACCCACCCCTGACATACACATATGTAACGACAGAAAAGAGTATTAGTAGCTCAGGGTTGAACTGAGATATGTCTAAGAATTTCCTTGGCTTAGTCATGCACATATCGTAATTCTTAAATAAAGGCCAACAAACGGCCTAAGTGTTACTTGCATTATCTCTCAGCCAATAAACTAGGAGTATTAGTTGCACACTGACCACAGGATGGAAATCAGTTTTATCTCCAGAGAGGAACCTCTATGACCTTTAAAATATCAACAATAGTTTGCTATGCTGATTGGAGTAGTTGAGATTTATTGTTCAAAATTTAGGAGGGTTGTCAGTTTTATGTCTGTCTTAAGCAAATGATAATAATCCATTGCATACCAATAATGCCAATGGTTACTATTTCCCTCCCTAAATTTTAGCAAAAAAATTGTTAGGTTTTCTACCAATTTTGGTGAATTTTTTTTTAATTTCTTGCCACTAACTTTGCTTATTCAAGTGGTACTGAATTACCTACCAACTTTAAATCCTATATGAAACCTGTTCCTCACTTATTCACTGAATGAAAGAAAAATTAATTACAACAAGTCAGTGAAAAATAGTCAAATATCCATAACACAATTGCTTTTTTATTAGTTAGGAAAATATACCTGAGTAAAATCTGAATCCAATTCAGGAATCCCATTCCAAACATGTATAGGATTGACTACCTCTTCATTTCCATTTGAAAAATTCAAAACCTTTGTTTAAAAATAACATAAGATTTAAATATTAATACCTACAGAAAATTAGAAGACATTGATTTATATAATAGAAGCACAATTAAAGCACACTTAATATATTCAGAACTCTTTACCTTTGTACCTTCAGGAGATATGCCTAAAATCTCAGCCTTGTACCACTGAGTACCTGACCATACCATGCATTGGGAACCAATATCAAATCCCATTAAGTTGCAAATGTTTTCTTTTTTTTCTGCAAGAAATAACACATTGTTTATTTACATTATTATTCATTTTATGTACTATAGATGGGGCAACAAGATTGGCAGCGGCAGTTAACATTGGCAATCTCAACTAATACATGTAATCCTTGATTTACAACCATTCATTTAGCAACTGTTCCAAGTTACAATGACACTGAAAAAAGTAAGCTACAACTGTTGTAGCATCCCCACAGTCACTTGATGAAAATTCGGGCACTTGGCAACTGGCATGTATTTATGAAGACTGCAGCGTCACATGATCTCTATTTGCAAGTTTCCAGCTAGCTTCCAACAAGCAAAGCCAATGGGGGAAGCCAGATTCCTTAAGAATTGTGACATTTACTTGTGCAGCGATTTGCTTCACAACCATGGGGGGAGAGGGAGATTATAAAATCAGATGCAACTCACTTAACAATTGCCTTGCTTAGCAACAGAAATCTAGGTCCCAACAGTTTTCAAGCATAGATTTATGCTTGAATTGTCTGATTTAAAGTCACTGAAACATCTAGGGGAATTATTAGGGCCACACTCCCAGCCATTTCATTCACAAAGGCAAAGTAAATTCAGTCATATACAGTATCTCCCAGGTGAAATGGATCTAATTAATCATTATTCTCCAGCTGGATCTGGAAACTACACATTTTTAAATGAGAGCAATGCTTTATATAGGGACAGTTATATAGTCTATACTCAATATTTTGAAAAATAATTGTAAACCCCTCTCCAAGAAATTAATTGCCATTATTTTTTGCCCAGTGTTATGTCTGATTTTTTCCACTTATTTTGCCAACCTGAATTTGCCAACTGAACAAGACAGCAAAATCTCAAATCAACTTTGTCACTCAAGTTCTACATTAATGCCTTACCTGTATCATGTATTAAGGGTTCATCCACTTCACTTAGCTGTATATTTGTTAGATAATCCTTTTCAACACAAATATTGTCTTTAAAACTTCCATGAGTGCTCATCTGCATTTCTTCATAATTCTTTCCCAACACAGGTTGCCCTTCTGTAAAACTGGGCTTTTTATCACTTTTTCCCAGTTTACACTCTTCAACAAGACTTTCAATGGAACAGAATTCTTGTGGCTTAACTTTAATTTCTGAAAATGACTGTATTTTATTATCTACAGGAACAGACAAAGCAGGGTGTTGCAAATATAGCGTATTATTGCTGGCTTTCTCAGTCAGTAAAGGAAAAGCTTCAGATGGCATCACTTCTACTATTACATTTTCATGTTCGTTCATTAGTGAAGTATTCTCTTTTACTTTGTGTGCTGACTGTTCTTCCACATGTTGTGATTCAAGTGCATGCAATTCTGACCTCTTTTGTGTTTCATCATTTATTTCTATTGTCTTTGGCTGTAGCATGTCTTCCAACAAGGGCATTTTTAACTTTTCTTTTTCGGGTATGTTCTTTGCATTATTTAATTGGGGAAGCACTCGTAAGGGCACAAAGTCTGACAACCTTTTTGTGTCATCCAAAGGCAACTGAATTTCAGGAGAGTCTAGCATTAATATTTCTTTGTCCTCTGCTCCTCCCTGAGATTCAAGTGTATCATATTCAATTTTACAAGTAGAAAGCTGTATTTCAGAAAGACCTGTAGAATCTGTTGTGTTTTTTCTGTTTCCAGATACGGAATAGTTTGTTTCATTATTAAATGCATCAAATGTGGTCTGCTGGTTCCCTGTATGAAATATTTCATGGGTGATAAAGTGGTGTTTGATTTGATTTTTGGATGGCTGTGCAGATGTTTCTGATAAATTTCTGTCTCCGACACCAAAACACTTGTCTACTGACTGTAATAGATTTGGACAACATAATACAACTTCCAAATTACTTTTTTGGGGGGTCATTGTTGTACAAACAGAAGTTTCAATTTCAAATAGCACTGATTTTGAATTATCTTCTTCTGGATTTCTAATCTTCTCTTCAGGGTTGTAATTATTTGCAATAGTGGAATCACCACTTTCAGCATGATATTTCCAAAAGTGTTTCATTTGTTCATTGATGCTTATATTTTGACATTCCAATTTAACTACAAACAAGGGAATTTCAAAAGAATCATAGTTGAGTTTGTCCATAATTGTAATCTCTAATGGAAGATCAGCTATCATATTACAGAAAATGTCATTTATTCCTTCAGCCCATGAACCTTTTTCAGAATTAAAGCCAAAGAGACAACACAAAAATGCTTGTGGCGGAATTATTAACAGTTCATCAGTAATTTGCCTGATCACTTCTATGCTGACAAGTTTCTCAGTTCCATAATCAATGTTGATTACCATCAAGGAATTTTCCTCTATACGACTAACAACTGCTCGGTGAAATAAATTATCACTAGACTTTGCTAGACAAGGACTGCCATTTTTAAGATCATCAATGTGGATTTTTGCATGTTCTTCAGCTTCCTGAAGTTTTATTTCAATTGAACTAATATCATTTTCAGTGAACTGACACCAAAAATATCCTGGATTCTTTGGAACTAATGAAAAGGCTTTTATAGTTTCGCCTATCTTAGGTGTCTTCCAGAGAAATGATTTGCTAGCTGAAAGTCTACTGTGCTCATCAGAAAGAATATATTCACATAAGCTTACTTTGCCAATCTTAGAAGATCCTTTGTCAGATGTCTCTATCGGGTCATATTTTTTATATTCAAGGCAACTATTAATCATATCATCCATTATATCATCTTTTTCATCACTGAGTTTTATTTCCCATTTGCCGTTTACTTTCTCAACAAATTGACAGTTCATCTGAACCTCACTTGTCTTTTGGGAGAAATACACCACTGCTTTTTGTGTCCATTCTGGAATCTCTGACATCTTAGTACTACCCAGGATACAATGGATGCTCATTACAGGGAAAGATAAACAGTCTTCAATAAGTTTGCATGTATTATGAATGCTAACTACTGCAGTATTGCCATAATCAATATACCGTACCTCTACCAATTCACTAGTGGACTCTTTAATAATTACAGCTCGATACCATAAGCTATCTTCTGAATAAATTGCACATATTAAATCTCCTACATTAAGCTGTTGCCCCACTAAGCTTGAAACTGTTTTAGAGCTGTTTATTTTCTCCGATATACTATCAAGGATAGGCTCATCTTCCACTAACTGTACATAAAAATCAGAAAGATTATTTATGTGAGAAACATACACTAAAGATTTAAGACCAGGTTTTATGTTTTTTTGAGGTAGTTCATATATATTTTTAGAAGAATATGTTACAGATTTGGATTTATTTTTAATATCACATCTCTCCCCTTTCTTATGAAGGGCTGCACATTTCATATCCTTCCAATCTTCCACATAATTACTTTTGCTAGAGCCGTCTGTGAATTCTAGGCATTTTCTTGCTACCTCTTTTTTAGTTTTCTGCTGCAATTGGCATGTTTCTCCAAAAGCAGCACTAGATTTAGCATTGTCCTCAAGAACAGGTTTGACAAAGTCTACCAAAGCTAGCCCACTTTCACTGTTTTCTTCCGTATTAGCTGAGTATTGGGAAGACAGAGTGCTGTTTTCTGTGTTTTCAGTAATCTCTTTGCTAGCCTGCAAACCTAAGCTTTGTTTCAATTTTGCATTGATCTGCATTTTACCATCATACAGTTCCATTATCAATGTTCCATCAGGATCTTTTGCTACAATCAAAGCTTTTAAGGGTTTATCTAACACTGCCTTTTCAAACCACTCAATAGCATCTTTTGTTGGATCAACAATATCAGAGAGAGAACATTTTATAGCCTGCATAGGCAAAAGCATTAACTCATAAGCATCATTTGGTACTACAACCAGGTCTTCGTTTTTTAATAATTGTGTATTCCCAAAATCTACAAAAAAAACTTCTTTGCTATCATTTTTTGAAGTTACTACAGCCCTATACCAGCAGTCATCAGTATACTTTGCAAGATACAAATTTCTAGAGTTGGGTGAAGTTTGCAAATTGTACGTTTTGCTTAGTTTACTAATGTTACTAGTTAAATTTTCAAGAGCATTTGCATTCCTAGCAAGTTGGCAGAAAAAAAAACATGGGCTATTAACATGTGTGACATAAATAATCTCTTCATTTCCTCTTTTGATATTGTGGGTCGAGTAATAGTATGATAGAAGTTGAACAGATGATACCAAAGGTTTCTCTCTGTGTACAAATGTGGCTAGATCCTTTCTTATTAAAAAATGGCAAGCACTTTCGAAAGGAGTAATAAGGTCAACAATATTAAAAAGTTCTGTACCATTTAATGCTGCTAAAGCAAATGTAATACATTTCAGTGCCACTTTAGATCCTGAATCCACAAATTCACAAAACGTTTCGATGGCTTTTTTATCCCAAACAAAAGGATTTGTATGTTTTGGCTGAATTAAATTGTAAAGGCTACATCTAAAAGCTTGAGCTTTTAGCTTCAGAAACTCTGCTGTAGTTGCACGAATATTTTTCAATGAAACATGTTTTTTATTTCCATAATCAACATAAGCGACTTCAACCTCTTCTGGGTAATGAACCTTATTAATGATAACAGCTCTGTACCATTTTTTATCCTCAGAACACTTAGCCAAACATACCGAATTTGGCCATTCATGAAGCTCTGCTGAATGCATACAATAATCCTGAATTTTAGCCATAAGCATGTTCAGTTCTTGGGAATTCTTAAATAATCGACACCAAAAATGACTAGGATTTTCTATGTGTGTTACAATCACATCAACTGTACTTCCAAATTCAAGCTGTTCTTCACCTGCCTTTATTTCAGAATAGTTCTGTATCTCACATGATGAATTATCACTGCCACCCAGAGCTGATGAAGAATAAAAAGTTCCTTCACTGGAGTGATGTTCATTTCTAAACATTTCAGCTGCAGAAGAGGCTGAAGAATCATGTTGTTGTGGATGTTTTACTTCATCTGTCACTGGTATTATTTTTTTCACAGGTCTTAACCTCATTGGTTTACTTTCAGGGTCCCCTGCCAATAGCTTATCTGATATTGCCTGGAGAGTTTCTAGTACTTCATGGTGCTTTGTGTAGTTTCTCTGGGACATGATTTTAGCTAAATTTTTTTCTCCCACTAGAGAATTATCAAAAAGTTCAACTATATAAACATCTCCTTGCATGCCTAGAACTTTGATCATCAATTCCTTGTTTAGCACGGATTTTTTAAAATAATCGACAGCTTCTGAGTTCCATGACTGACCTGGGAAAGGATTATCCAGTGCACACCGGACTGCCACAGCAGGAAGTTCTCTGAATTGGGGAAGCAACTTCTTCACCTTATACAAGTCAACTACTTCAGTGTTTCCCCAATCCATCAAATACACCACAATTCCTTTCCCTTGAACTTTAGTAACAAGGGCACGATGGTAAGAGTTTTCCTTCAACATGACACAGCAGAGGGATCCTACCTTGGGCTCAAGTAGAATACATTCTAGTTTCTTACTGCGAGAATAAAAGTCTCTTAAGTTCCTCCGTAGGTGACAAAGTGGCTGTTTAAGTTCCTGCAACTGCACCCAGAATTCTGAAGGGTCCTGAAGAAATGATACCTGAACATTACGATACTCGCCTGCCTTCAGACGTACAACAAAAGGTGGGGTAGCAGCAATTCTGGGCAATATCTCTGACAAAGAAGCAGATTCCTTTTGGACTGAGACACCCAAGCTTTCTGATTCAATAATTAAACCAGAGATGCATTCTTGATTACTGTGCAGGAGGTTTTGAGCCAGGCAATTTGCCTGTACCCCATACAGGCAGTTAAGGTTGAGGCCATCTTCCCCATATAGGGTAATGTAATAGATATGCTCAAAGGGACAGTAAGCTTCGATGTGAGCTTGCATTACCTTGCCCAAGAGCAATGTTTTAAGTTGATTAATTTGTGAATGCGTCCAGCCACAGCCTCCATCAGTAATACCTTGCAGTGAGCAAGGGTAGGTTACTACTGGCATGCGGAAATATTCAACAGGTAAGTTGCGCAAATGTCTCTTTGTTACAAACTCTTTCCTGCCATAATCCACACAAATCACTTGAGCCACTGCCTCCGGTTGATCCTCTTGATCATCGGCTGGGTATGTTTCTAATAACAAAGTTCGATACCAGCATCCATCTATACCCTGGGCTGCACAGGGAAAGCCTGGGGTGGGCAAAGCCTCTTCTACAAATTTTCCCTTTGATACCTCAAAAGCTTGGTGCATAGCATCTGAAAGTAGCTGGATTTCTTTAGAAAGACTACGTAGCTGGCAATATATTCTATAGGGATCAGAGATTTGAGTCACCACCACAGGCACAGTCACATTCAACTCCAGTTGAGGATAGAAGAAATCCATTGTGACATGGCCCTGCTTGGACTGGGCAGCAGAAGGAAGGACTGGGGATTGGGACAAAGTGGAAGTTGGCTCCAATGGGACAGAAGCAATCTCGGGAACTTCTAAGATAACACTCAGTAGGGTGCTAAAAGCAGTAGAGGCAAGACTGGCAAGCCCAAGATGGCGCATCTGTGTCAGCAACCAGGGCACCTCCAGCACCACAAGGCACTGCGAGATCAGCACTTTTCGGATGACACCAGACAGCTCTTTGCCATGGAGGAAACCCAAAAAGTCGATGGCCTCAGCCGCCCATCTTAAGTTAAGCGCCTGGGATCCTAGCGGGGTCTTTGAGCCCCTAAGAGTGGTCTTTAAGGATGCCCCGGAATCGCCGGGTGGGAGCAAGTCTGCAACAATGCATCCCATGACTTCGGACGGCAAGTGGAAGAGTTCGCTGCGGCCCCGCGCCAAGTAGTAGGAGCTAGCGCTCACCGTGCGGCCCTCGTCTAGCAGAAAGACGCGGTAGTTTTGGCCCGGCTTGGTCCGGCAGCTGACGATACGGCAGCGGTGCCACCGCCCGCCCAGTTCCACTAGACACAGGTCACCCAGAGCCAGGGCTTCGCCCTCGCTGTCGCCGTCCCCTCGGCCCCCGCGGTCCCCGGGAGAGTTCGCCAAGCGGGGCCCCACTTTGATCTGGAGGTCCTTCATCAGCCGCAAATATTCCTCTCTGCGTTCGCCGGGCAGACCCCATAGCCTCACCAGCGGCACCTTAGGGTGGACTTCGACGAAGGAGACCCGAAAGGTAAACGAGCTGCCAGGGTTGAGCAGCGGGGAACACATGGCTGGCCCGCCCCTTCCCCGGCTTTCAAACCGTCCAAGAAACGCCAGGCGGCGGTCGACGACCGCGTTACATAGAAGCGCCCGACTCCGCCCCTTCCTGCCCGCGAGCGTCGCCCGGCTTCTGGGGCTGGCAGAAGCTGTGGCGCGTGTGGTAAACAACGGCGTTAAGGAGGAGTGAGTCGGCAGAATTGGGAGACGAACTTTTCAGAGGCGCCACGCGCCCGGGATCACGTGCTGACTGCCGCGCAGGCGCAGATGCCTTTTTGATTCAAACGGTCCCCGTGGCGGACAAACATTTCTGTGGGGGAAGCTGGCAGGAAACCCGACTTTCGCCTTATCCTTCTTTCATCCTTGAAAGCAGAGGATGCTTATAAAAGAGACTAAAAGTCATGCAAACGTTTTGTCCAGTGCGCCCAGGGTTGGTGGAATTGCATCGTGGCAACAACCAAAGGAAGAGGAGTCGTACCAAGGATACTGACACCAAGACCGTGAATAATAAAACAGCCCGTCAAATCAATAAGCCAAAACAAATCTTGAAAAATAGTTGAATTATGGGTTGATAACGTTTGAAGAGGTTATGCTCTCTGAATGAGCTGTACAGTCTGCTGCAACCAGCATCTGTATTGTATGGTCTCAACAGAGTCAACCAGTAGGGCTTCTTGGTGGAAAGAAATCTATACAGGCAGTCCTCCACTTAAAACAATTTGATTAGTGACTGTTCAGAGTTGTGGCACTGTGAAAGACATCACTTATGATCATTTTTCCTATTTAATGTCTGTTGCAGCATCCCCATGGTCATGGCAAGAAAGGTTGTAAAATGGGGCAAAATTCACTTAACAAATGTGTCACTTAGCAAGGTGTCAAGGGCTACCTGTACTGTGGACTCATTTTTTTTTTTTAAAAAAAGAAGTGACTTCCATTTTTCAATTTTCCAGAAGGATGCAATTACTATTAAAGCTTCTCCAATCAGCATGTTAATATCTGATACACGGCATTTTCCAATAGTATATACAGATAATGTATCACACAATTGCATACTTTGACTAGATAGCAATAGTTTGTAAAAGCTGTTTATATTTGTACAGTATGTTGCAGGTATAGAAATGTATCAGTTTCCACAAAAACTCTCCAAGACTTTGATGCTTGTTGAAGTTTTAAATTGTTGAGAATTGTGTAAGATGACATTGAACAAATACTGAAACATCATAATCTTAAAATGTCAGTTGCAAGTTCAAGCACTTCTTAAGTATGTTAACTTATATATATATGATTCCCAGTTGTGTTTTCTAAGACAGATCAATCAAAGTCTGTATGTCAATTCATTTTATTCCATTTTTCTGCAAATGAAAAAAACATTTCATATTTAGATTATGAAAATTATATTTGTGCATGTGTGTTGAAGAAATGTGATAAAAGACCTAGCCTGGAGGATAATCCATATACTTTTTCAAGAAGTGTGAATATTGTCTTTTCACTTTATAAAGTGGACTGAATCCAGAATCCTTATGTATACTGATCAGTTTGCCTTCTGTCATAAATGGATTTCTGTAGTAATTGATTTCAAAGGGTAACTGGAGGCTAACTAATATATTTATTTCTCAGATGTGTAGGTATGTTCATGTCAGATTAACAAATGAGTGATACAACAGAATTGTACATTCTATATAGACAGAGTGCCCTTGAAGAATTTTGGAATAACGTTGCTCTCTGGAGCTTGCAACCAATACTGCAAGTTTGCAAAGGCCAGGCTGATGACAGTTTTTATAACTTGCAGGGTGAGGAAGGAGTGCTCAGCTTTCTTCCCGACTCAGCAGAATTTGGCCTTCTCAAAGAGGAAGGAGCACTGAGGAGAAAAATAAGGCTGCAGTGCAGGATATCATCACCTGCAAAAGAGTATCAAATTAAAGAGTAAAATTTTATTTGAGTTAATATGGAAAATAAATTTATTGTTATACTGATTCAGAAAAGAACATAGGACATAAAGGGAAGTAATTCTGTTAACATTCATTATATACTTGGATTTTCAAAATTCTGTTCTGATTTTTTTTGTCTTTGTTTTCTTTTGGGGGCAGCCACTGGCTAGTAGATAATGGCAGAGTATGATCAGAATTGAGGAATATGTTTTAAAATCAAAACCATAATAGACAGCATAAGTCTTTTAGAAACCTAATGCAATTACACCCCAAAACTCAGTGGAAAATCACATATTTGTCAGCAAGTTTTCCCATTTTTCTTGGAACAACTACAGTATAAATGTAGAAAGTTAGTACCCACCCCTCTCCTAGAAGAATGAAATATTCTAGAAAATATTAAAAAGGCAGAATATTATATTTCCCTGAATGAGAAAAGGAGGAACATGTTTTTAAAGACAAAGCAGCTCCCTGCACCTCCCTGCCCTCGGCAGATATTTGGTGCCCATTGAGAAAGACTAGGCCAGCCTATCTACAAAACAAAAGGCCTCCAGCTCCAGGGTGATGGCATTAAGACATGACCCTCCAGGACATAATAGGATTATCTGTCAGCAGAACTCACCACATGGCACAATCAAGCCCTTGCATTACATCAGCCCAAGGTTCAACCAAACTTGACTTCAAGACAAACATAACCCCACATGGCCCCATGGGAGTCTGACAGCAACCAATAGAATACATGCTCTTGGCACAGGAACAGGAAGCTCAAGTTCAAAGCCCAAGAGGGTATAAATACCTCTCTCTCTCCACTCCATGTGGTCAGCTACCCAGAATCACAAGTGCTTGGTGGTTGTGCTTCACCATTGAGCCATCTTTCCAATCAGCCTCCATGTTTCCAGTGTCTTCCTCTCCACTTGGAACTGAATCCAACTGGACATTACTTCCAACATAAAGATGAATGAAAACAAACTTTGCCTAAACTTTCAATGTATTTTTTGCCCTAAAATGTACCATAAGCAAAGCAATATATGAAAAACGACACTGATGTTAATACTGCACTGTGTGTGTGGACACTGTGTGTCCAGTTCTGTAGATAGTGAAGATGTTGTATTTCCTGACTAAGCAGACTAAGCCATTATCAAAGTTGTTTTTCCTGATCAAAAATACAGAGACTTGAGAAGCCTATCTGTTACTGTATATTAGTGTATTCAAATAAGACTGTTGAATTTAATTATTAAAAAATGAGATTCTGCCTGGGAAATAGCTGCAACTATTATTCAGGTCTTGCTCTTGAGAGGCTGGAAAGCCTGTGGACATTTCTACATGGTTACTGTGCTTCTTCAAAAAACCAGCCCTCAACTAGACGTTGTCATCTTGTCTCTCTGCCACTTACTTCTGGCTCAGCTGAGGAAAACATACTAAAGAAAATCTTTTCATCTGAATTGGCCATGTGCTTATTGGCAGAATCCCTTCTTTACACCTCTCCTCAGTTCCTGGGCTTTAGCCAGATTCTTCTAGTAGCAGTTCAGACATCATACCATGATGCGAAGACATTATTTCATAGATGTTTTAAAGGTAACCAAGGGATTTTGCAACTCCTGATTGATTGATTGACTGACTGATTTCAGATTACTTCTCAGCATCAACTGCTGCAAAACAGAGTGAGGAAGGACAGGATGCTGGTTGAATTATGGCTTCTATTAGTCAGCTGGGAAGAGGATTGATTTGAGGCCAGGGACAGCAAAGATTATGGTGACTTGGTTTCAAACTGTTGGGAGGAATTCAGGAGTGGAAAGAATAACTGGAAGAGTTATGTAAGTATTTGAAATGAAATAAAACGACAACTTTATGGGAGATTTGGTGGGATTTATCATGCCGCTGAGAGAGATAAAATCTATTCTTCTGTCTCAGTGGATGATACTGGAACAATATCAGTGGAAGTGAGTGGTTATGATCAAGTAAGAGCACTGATGTAAAATGGAGCAATAACATGAGAGTTCCTTCATAAAATTTAAATTTACACATAGGACTTGCCACTAGGCACAATTTATTTTCTCTGAGGTTTGTTCCAGGCCTGGCAAATATAATTCTGCATTTTGGTTCCATTCCCTCTTAAAATTACCCATTCTTGTTTTGACTATCTCCTTTCTCAAAAGAGAGAGGTACTTAAGGGGGCTAAGAAAGATATTATGTTAATGTTATGCTGGTTTATGATAATCAAAATTTGATTTGATATGTTGGAAATCTAAATACTTGAACTAAATTACTCTTTCATTTAATAGAAGAGAACAATGTAAGTTCCTTAAAAGAAGAAGAATATGAATAGAAACAAAAGAGACAATTACTAAATGGAGGTGACCACCTGAGAAGGGACATGGCAACAAGGACAGAAAAGAGATTGCCTCACTGTTGATTACGATTGAAATCCTGTAATCACATGGGTTGGCTCCAAGATGTCTATTTAAGCAGAAACCAAAACCTAAAACTTAAAAAGAACTGGAAAAGTACAGTACTAAGAATAGAAGCAAAACCATTGATATTGCTAAATCGGAATATGGTCCTAAACATAGCAGTATACTGTAAACATTAAATATGAAAGCACAAAGTTTTTTTTAATAAGCCATTCTAAATGTAGACATGGAAGACTATGGCTTTATTTGATTAAAAGGTTTTGAGCCATAAGAAAGTACAAAGAAAGACATTTATAAACTCTGTTCAGTTACAACTTTTCATAATTCAGTGCCTAGGGGTTTTGCATCCCCTAATATTTACAATCAAATATTTGCCCATTTCTAAATATACACATCTTTCTGATGTTTCTGAAAAATAATAATGACGTTCCAGGTATCTGCAGTAAGTATTAACTGGTGAAGAACTATGAAGAAATGACTCTCCACAAATCAGTAACATTTAGGAAACAGTATATTTATAAAGACTACTGATTGTTTTATTGGGGTTGTTAAATATGTTGCTGTTCATTTTTCAGTATTTTTTATGTAAAGGTTTGAAACAAACAATTTTATTTACTTCTTGTGCCAGGATTAGTGAAATATTAATGTTCCCCCAGCTACCATACATGTTTATATTGGATGTATTTCTCCATCTAGGAGGGATATAGAAACACACACAGCCAGCCAATATCTAAGCAATTAATTTAATGTGGCATCTTTGGAAATGTACCATAACACCCCTATTAAAATATACATAGATCAGGTGAATGTAGAAGTAGCAAACCTATATTCAGGTAGTTTTTGGCCTACAATCATTTGTTTGGTGACCATTTGAAGTTACAACAGCAGTGAAAAAGCTGACTTATCATTTTTCACACTTACAACCATTGCACATCCTTATGTTCACATGATTAAAATTTGGATGTTTGGCAGCTGGCATGTATTTATGATGGTTGCAGTGTCCTGGAGTATAAGGCACAGTGGCTCAGTGGCTTAATGGTCTCTGTTCCAGTGGTCCGAGTCCTAGCACTGCATGGCAGGACGAGCTCCTGTCATTTGCCTCAACTTTTGTCCATCTAGCAATTTGAAAGCATGTTCTATGCAAGTAGATAGATAGATACCACTTTGGTGGGAAGATGAGCTGGTGCTCTGTCTAATCAGTCAGATTCCTGACAGCTCTGAACCTTCCTGGTTGCGGCACCCATTTGCGAGGTGGGTGCCACGGAAAGTGGGGGGAAACGAGAGGGCCTTGGGTGATGCTGTAGGAAGAGCTGCTCATCTTTCTCTTTGATGCAAAGCCAGCTTGCCCTTCTATGGTATACCTTGGAAAGCACACAAGCGTGTCCTCTAACAGGACTCTGCAATTGCATTGTGGTCTCCTGGCTACTGTAACAACAATAACAATCACTATTATGGAAAAGAAAAAAGTCTGGTTCATTGATATTGCAATACCAAGTGATGCATGAATTGAAAAGAAACAATTAGAAAAAAAATAACAAAATACCATGATCTGCAAATTGACACTAAGTGATTGTGGATGAAGAAATCAATGGTTATATTAATAGTAATAGGAGCCCTTGGATCAATAAGCAAAGGATTGCCTAGATACATGGAAATTATGAACTTATCAGACCTGAATATTCTGACTTTGCAAAAAACCACCTTACTCGGAACCACCTATATACTCAGACATTATCTTAACAGCTCTTAGGTCCTTGGTTAGGAGTTGAACTTTAAGTTTTTACCAGTCCTAGACTGTGAATCAAATAGAAGATTAAATCAATGATTATAATGATATCCTGGGGTCATGCAGGTGACGCATATGGGGAAGCGAGAATCATTTAACAACCATGTTACTGACTTAACAGTTCCAGTGATTCACTTAACAACTGTGACAAGAAAGTGTACAGAGCCCCCTCCAAGGAAAATTAGTTGGGGAGCAGTTTCCCCAAAATAGGAGGAAGGCTCCCCTGAAAAAAAAGCCAACTCGCATCCTCTCACAAACAGGGAAATTGCCCGAAACAGCTTTTCGCAACAAGCTGAGTGCCTGTAAATGAGATACATTTGTATCCATTCACAAAGGCAGAGTGCTCCTTGTGAATGGATATTCAGAATCCAGACAGCTCCATTCATAAGCAAAGTACTGCCAGCTACAGCTTTCGCAAGGACAAAAAATGAGCAGATTAGAGATACGAAAACAATGACACTTCAGTTTACACTCTCCCACCCGACCTCAAGGACAGGGCATGACCTCTGAGACACAATAGGAGTCAGGCAACAATAATTAGAGTACTAAAAGGGTACTCTCAAGCCAGGGTTGGATTCTACTTACCTCCGCTACTGGTTCGCAATGGGAGAGCACGCACAGAAGCTTCTGCACATGTGCAGATCATTCATGATGACGTCCGGTCGGATTGATGGAGCCTCCCGCCGCCGTTACCATCGGTTCATAAGAACCGGACCGACCCGGGAGCAACCCACCACTGTCTCAAGCACAGATTAAAGTACATACAACAGACCTGGGAATCTAAATCACAAAGCCCTAAAACCATATAAAAATCCATCCACTCACCAGGTTGTTTTGTCAGCTGTCCTAGAACTGATTATTGCTGAAGTCGCTTCTGACCACCAATAAAGAAAACCTTCTTTTCAAGCAGCTGGCTTCTCTCTTCATTTGGTGGCACCCTTGTTTCTCCCAGCTGGAGACTTGAGCCAATTCTTCCTAAAAAAGGTCATAAAATGGGGCAAAACTGGCTTAACTGTCTTGTTTAGCAATGGTAATTTAGGGGTCAATTGTGATTGTAAGTCAAAGATTACTTGTATACCAATCCAGTGGCCTGTCCATCTCATTGTCATGCCTCTAATATTTAAGAAGCCCCCTTATTCACTGAGGAAGAGCCAACAAGGTCTATACAGTCTGAAAATGCAATCAAGACATGCCTAGTGGGCAACCTATATGTTTCAGATTGTCCGTCATAGCCATCTCCTAATCCATTGCAATGTTGACAATTGCTTTTATCTAAAGAATACCTCCTTATAAAATCTTTGCTTTTCTTTTGGTGTAATATGTAACTGGCCAGCCTTATTTTTCATGAAGGCAGTGCAGGTTACCAACATAGTGTTAGGACCTTTACCATCTTTTTGAAGGGATTTATGTGCATTCCTCATTTCTGTCTCTCTTCTAGTCTGTCCTTGAGAGAAAAGCTTGTTCTATGAGAACCAGGAACTCATTGTATCAGGCACTCATGCTGATTTATGTCCACTGTGGTGGTCATGTGATCTCTTTTGTTATTGTTAAAGGCACATGAATTCTATCAGAAAAAAATAGCAGTAACCATAATGCTAAGCCTGACAGGACAAGCAGGAAGTATTTAGATGTTCCTTTCTCCTTTTCCAAAAGCAGGACATTATACGATATGTGTCTGTTGAATTTTAATTCTCAAGGAAAATTTGAAACACAGAATTAATCTTTTGCCAACAAAGCACTTGGCTGACATAGCTATGATGACTCAGGTGCTGATTAGGTTTGCCATAATTGATTTAGTCTGGGTTCAGATGAAACACATAATCATGTCCTGCTTGCACTAGAGATGATACAGCAGAGAGAGCAAAGAGTTGGGGAGGGGGGGAACTGAGCTGATGTCAGTCTATGTGGTGATGTCATTGCAATGAGAAATAGATTTGGCCAGTGCTAGGCTTTGCTTATTTAGCTGGAGGTTGAATTAGGCAGAGACCAGGCACAATAGAAAAGCTGGTGCCTTCCTCCTTCCCTCCCCCCTCTTCGTCTCTCTCTCTCTTCCTCTCTCTCTCTTACACTCTCTCTCTTACAAACACACACACACTCTCTCTCTCTTACTCTCTATCTCTCTCTCTTTTGAAGTAGCATCCTGACCAGTTAGGAGTTAGAAAGCTCTTTTATTTTCTTGACTCTGGGGCTACATAAGCTCTTGATTTATGTCAGGAAGGAGATGCCAGCCCATGACATGGACTGTGATGTCTCTTCTCTAGTTGCCTGTGTAGTGGATATAGAGGTATTTACCAACCAAGATGTTAAGGTATGTGCATGCCTTTCATTCTGCAGAGATGCTTCTGACAAGGACACTTGCAGGATGACAAGAATGTTTGATGTCCTGCAAAAAGCAGATCAGATTGTCATGATTATTACCATAACAACCAGAATATTGGGAGTCTCGTATGAAAAGATTAGGGAGCTATTTCTTTATCTTGTTTTTAAAATGGATTTGTGATATAATAAATCTAAGAGTTGCATCACAAATGAAACCCTAATTAAATAGTAAATTCTCAGTTTTTTTCCGTCTCATGCCTCACACAAATGACCTATCTTTTTAAAGTAAATTAAGGAATAAATTGTAAATGCATGTGAATGTATGTTTTCTGAGTATAATTGTTCTGTGCTGAAGCTGTGTTGACCTTCAGGTGTTTGTATGTTAATGTATTATTTAACTGAAAAAATATCTTTAGCTTTGCACTGCATAGCCAATATGTGAGTGATTCACCCGAGTTAAAGGGTTATTTCAGCCAAAGTTGGACAGTTTTACTTTTTTGCATAACATTTTGAAAACTTGAGGTGCATTTCTCTGATTTCTTCTTGATCTCCTGTTGTGTACATCAATGATAGTGATTTTTTCCCTTTTTCCTTAAGATGTTGCCAAACATCTTAAAAATTAAGAAGAGTATTGTGTACACTATTAGTGTACCTAGTCAGAAAAGCTTTCCTTTTAAGTGATATTTGTAAAGAGCACAGTGTATTATATCTGTCCATCTCACTACTGCAGTATAAGGGAAAAGAAAGCCCTGAAGCAGCAGGCAAAATCATTACTGCAAATTGTTTTATTTTCTGTAAATTGTGTCAGTGGCAGAGGATGGATGAAATATATTATCAGTTTGTTTGTTTGCTTTAAAAACAACAACTAAAATTCTGAATACAGTAACATCTAGTATTTCATATTCACATTGTGTAACCAATATACTTTTTAATAGATTTATTCTTTTTAGAAGCATGTGATAAGATGAAACTCTCCTGGGCTCCTGAATTTCTTTCTCTGCATTGGGGGTTGGAGGAGAATGTGTGCGTGTGAGAGAGGAGGGGAGGATGGGGGGGGGGTTATGCATGCAGTATTTTCTGTTTGTTGCAAGATGAGAGTTTGATGTAGTCTGTATAATGTAAAGATGAGGATGTAATCAAATACTAGAAATATATTGGAATACCTAACAGCATCTCGATCAAAGTGAAGCATCTCAATCAACAGTTAACTATCATTTTTCTTTTAAGGCAAACCTAGAATCTAAAGCCTTGGTCAAAGTCACTGCAGTATATAATGGTGTACTCCAAATATAGCCAGGCTGGGGAAAAGCAAGGGGATGATAACCAGATCCAGTCTTCTGGCAGTTTTCAATGAAAAGCTTCCCCTGATGGCAGGGGGTATTCAACATTTTGTTATATATGTGGAAAAAGAGTCTCCTTTTCTTAAACACTTGTTCTCACATAAGAAAAGGCCTCCATTCAGGTGTCTTTCAAAACAAGACACCAAGGAGAAGGAATGCCACATAAATGAAATCCTTTGGGCCAGAAAAAAGAAAGAGTTGGAAAATGTTGGGCATTTTTGTTGGCAGCTTATAGCCAGGAGCACTGAGTTTGGATTCTGTAAATCTATTCCAAAGTGTAGGTTCAGGGACAAATGTTGCAGAACTCACCCAATGGAAAGAGAGAACTGCAGCAGTGATTTCCAAGGAGAGCCTTTTGGGGTGTCCATATGGACTAGGTCAGACTTTTTCTTGGGAAAAATGCCAGTAGACATTGGGAAGGGGGAAGAAAAAGGAGAGAGGGAATTTAGTCTCCATTGCCAGGAAGCTACCAAATTCTCCAAAGAAGGAATCCTCTCTACTTTTCATCTGGGGCGCTGATGGTACTCTTGGGCCTGTGCAGTGATTTTTTTCTCCACTGATTGCTTTTCCCTTTTGACCTCCTCTGTCAGAGAAGCAGAGGATAGACCTCCTTTGCTCCTACCATTTGTGTATTGATCAAGGTAAGATATAGCTTCTAGGAGCAGCAGTGGTGACTGCTTTGGCTGCTTGCTATTTTCCTGGGCAGGTAGAGCAAAGGGCAACAACAGGGAAGACAAGAGGCAGCAGCTGCCATTGACGACCCATATGTGCATTTGGGAGGGCAGTTGTCAGAAAAGGAAGGAGAAGCCACTACCAGTAGTATTTTACATAGTCAAGTTAATGGGCATGTTGCTGAACACCTCTTCTCACCCCCATCCCAATGGGCAAAATCTTGAACAAATGCAACAGATGATCTCTCTGTCTTTATCTCTCTCTCTCTCTCTTTCTCTTTTAAAAAATCATTTTTTCACAAGTTATAACCAATAGGTAAACTGTTCTGGATATTGGCAATGAGGCTATACTGCTTCTATTTTATAATTTCTATTTTCTTTGCTAGCAGCAGAACTCTATTTATTTTGTATCTATCTATCTATCTATCTATCTATCTATCTATCTATCTATCTATCTATCTATCAAATAAATAAAATCTATCTATCCATCCATCCACTTCTGTTCATCCATCCATCCATCCATCCAGTGGAAGAGTGATGGAGAGAGAGTGAGAAATGATATTTAGTTTAATGTATATAATCTGTTTTGTTCCTCCCATTGCCAAGGAAATCTAAAACGGGTTAAAGAAAATATTACTCAGTTTATCAAAGTTCTCATACAAGTACTGTAACAATAATATATGATTTATTAGTCATATCACATTTATAACAATTAATAACATTAATAATAATAATAATAATAATATAATAATAATAATAATAATAATAATAATAATAATAATAATAATAATTTTATTTCTATACCGCCCTTCTCCCGAAGGACTCAGGGCGGTGTACAGCCAATTTAAAAACACAAGACACAACAATAATTAAAAATTAAAATAATTAAATAGATTTGGCCGATTTAAAACCCCAAAAATTTTAAATACCCCAATTTAAAATTATCATGTCGATAGCCCGGCCTGGCGGAACAACAGGGTCTTCAATGCGCAACGAAACACCCGGAGGTCGGAGATCTTGCGTATTTCCGGGGGCAGTTCATTCCACAGGGCTGGGGCTCCCACAGAGAAGGCCCTCCCCCTGGGTGTCGCCAGCCGACATAACTTGGCTGATGGCACCCTGAGGAGACCCTCTCTGTGGGAGCGGACTGGTCGGTGGGAGGCTATTGGTGGCAGAAGACGGTCTGGAAGGTACCCGGGTCCTATGCCATGGAGCGCTTTAAAGGTGGTAACCAACACCTTGAATCGCACCCGGAAGACCACTGGGAGCCAGTGCAGCTCGCGCAGGAGGGGTGTCACGCGGGCACAACGAGTTGCGCCCATAACCACCCGCGCGGCCGCATTCTGGACCAGTTGGAGCCTCCGAGTGCTCTTCAAGGGGAGCCCCATGTAGAGAGCATTACAATAGTCCAGCCGGGAGGTGACAAGGGCATGAGTGACCATGCGCAAGGTGTCCCGGTCCAGAAAGGGCTGCAACTGGCGGATCAGGCGAACCTGATAAAAGGCCCCCCTGGCCACGGCCGTCATATGCTCTTCTAAAGACAGCCGTGCGTCCAGGAGGACACCCAGATTGCGAGCCCTCTCTGTGGGGGGCAAAGATTCACCCCCAATAGTCAGCGATGGCACCTGCTGACTATATCGGGACGCCGGCAGCCACAGCCACTCGGTCTTGGACGGGTTGAGTCTGAGCCTGTTCCTCCCCATCCAGACCCGCACGGCTTCCAGGCAGCGAGACATCACATCAAGGGCATCGTTGGGGTGGTCTGGGGTGGAGATGTACAGCTGAGTATCATCAGCGTACAGATGACACTTCACCCCAAAACCACGGATGATCTCACCCAGTGGCTTCACATAAATGTTGAACAGAAGGGGCGAGATGCCTAACATAATTTATGAATATTACTAAATTCAATGCACTTGTACTAGTACTTCTGTAGACAAATTTACAAAATATTAGTTTGCCAGTTACAAGTAAAAAAATAACTTGTACATGTTTCCAGAACACTGACAGAAAATACATCAAAGCAAATGAAAGAACTCTAATGTATTTGATGTAGATTGAATGCCAGCACCATCCAGAAGAAGAAGTTATATTGCCCTTGTGGCTTAGTTGTGGACTTCCTGGACATTGAGATGGAATAGGCCTATTGTCTAATCCAGCAGGGTTCCTCAATTGTGCTCACATTGAATATAATGACATAAATCATGAGAAATTATACAATCATGATACCAGAGCAACTGATTTAAGAGCAGATTATATGGAAGAGTGCTACATCAACATGATGGTTTTATTTCTTGCTGTCTTTGATTTTTACCTTTCTACTTTTTTTTCTTCCAAATCAAATCTTTATTATGGCCAAAGACCAGCAGCATTAAAGGGTGGGTTGCAGCCAATCAAAAAGCATAGAAAATAATCTAAACAATAATAAATATAAAAAGCTAAAAGATATAAACCAGAAGTATATATAAAAATAAAATCTGAAATCTTGTAGCTTTTTATAATTATCATTTTTTAGCTTCTGATATATTTAATTGACTGTACCCTGCCTTCCTTATGCTGGTCTTTGACAGTAATAAATATTTGATTTGACCTTGCTGATTTGATTTGATCTTGCTGTCTGCAGACAAATTCTGCTTCTACTCAGCAGTTTTGTCTCCTTACTCCCAGGGAGGGAGGCAAGGTTACCAAGCATCTCTCTGGTACTGATGGCACAGCTGTTGGCTTTGCTTTCTCCTTGTCTCAAGGTTGGCTTTAGTAAAGTTGTCACTCTAACCCACTACTCCTCAATTGTGCAGTAAGAGTGTAATTTGCTCTGGATTGTGTTTCTCCTGAAGGCAAAAGTGGCAAAGGACTTCTTCCCTCCTTTTCCCTCTCATGCTTCATCTCCATGTGCTGATTAAAACAGGGTTCCTCATCTACATTGCAATATAGATTTATAGCATATAGCAATAGAACTTAGACTTATATACTGCTTCATA